AGAGTCCGTATCCACAGCATCATCTCGAACAAAACGCAGCATCGAGCCGAGACACAGACACCGCCAATATCACATCATAGCATGGCAGTATCTGCAAAGTACAGGCTTGGACAACTTTTCCACCTCCATCCATCATGGCGATCGCAGCCCGACGACTTTCCTATGTACAAAAATAGGCACACCGTGCCGTTTCCTTGTCCCCAACGTCGTCACACCAATTTTTCCCCCGCCATCGCCGCGCCACGCTGGATGCCTTTGAACACGAATCAATCATGGCCGGAAAATACTAAACTAAAATAAATCATGGGGAAAAGCCAAGGTAAAGTCAAAGAGTCGGGCCGGTCACCAATAAGCCACATCGGAGAAATAACTTAGCCCTGTCGCACATTCAAGTCCATTGTCCATATTTTTATCAGGTCGTAATACTCTGTACATGCAGGCTCTACATCATGTGCGCTCCAAAGCATGATATACTAATTGGCCCTCCCGCATGTATGCGCGTGTGCGTGCGTGTGTGTATTTGCTTACCCATGACAAACTAGCACTTCTGTCATGCAAGCCATTTCACGCCCATGTCCAAATTTACATACAATATCTAGCTAGCGGTGTTTACTTGCGGCAACTGCACGTACGTATTACAATACCCGTTTGGTTTTGTGCCGAAAAAAGAAGGATGTGTTTGCAAATGTTTGCTTTTGCGGAAATGCAAGGCTGAGAAGAATGCAGCCCTGCCAACGTGTACAGAGTCGAGAGAGCCCTTGTTTTACTCCCCCGCCCTGTGACTGGGATGGCCATTTGAGACATAGAGACTTTGAGATCAACGTTTTCCCGTTGTTGGATTGAGCAGGTTCACCAGAGAATTTCGTTTCTTTCGGCTCCGTTGATGGAGTTACGCCAGGTGAGTTGTATCGAGTAGGGAGCACGGAGTACAAGGCGACTGAAGCGAGGCGCAACGATACAACATACTACATATATTTAGAAGCCTGTGCCTATTGTTGGTCGTAGCGGGATAAGCTGAGAATAGACAGGGGGCGGGTGAGACATGCTGTTGGGGCGGAGGAGAGGCTTGTGGGTGGTGATGTATCACACACACCCAAGATGGCTGTTGCTGACATGAGCTGCGCTTGGCTTTATTTTGCAGCTTGAGCATATCACTTGATTGGTTTGAATGCACTGGAGGGGCTGTGGAATCCGTACTCCGTATAGTGTTCGATACTGCTCGTGGTTTTATGGAATCTATGGATGATATCGCGTTGAGTCGAGAGACTGACGGAGGTTGCAACTTTGAGAGACATCCTCGGGAACAGTAGTCCTGGAGAACCATAATAGAGCCTCTCTATCCTACTCTGTGAAATACCAGCCTTGGAGTAGGGGGAGAGCCTGAGAAGTTTGTTCGACTGGGTGGGAGTGGTGTAAGTCACGGTGGCTTCACGAGGCTCGGGATGCCGCGCTGACAAGTCTACCAGGGCCACGGGGAAATCCCCCTAAATCAGGGATCCGTACAATACGCCGCGGACTCGGAATATGTAGAGACACTTTGTTTCTCATGACAGAAGGTATGATTACGACAGATTTTGTCAACCCGTGCCTACGAGCTGCGAGGTACAGTTGGGAAGGCTCAACGGTTTGGGCCGAGGAGCTATAGTATAAAGGCAAGTTACAAATACCTGACCCTCGAATCAATGAATGTAAGCACTGGATAGTGTTTTCTCATCTTTTTGAAGAGTTCACTTCAGCCATGAGCAGGTTTGACTAATAAACAGTCAAATTGCTAAGAGAGAACGGCTCTCAGCTAGTAACGAGAGATTCACCTGCTGTTTGAGTTTAATGCTTTCAATAACGTGTACACCTACGGACATATAACAGTCACGGCCTCCAATACAAATGATCCAAGCAGCACCGTTCGAGATGTAGAAGTTGACAATGACAACGAGCCAGGCAAGTATGGAAGTGAGACGCGGTGTCTAAGCGCGTAGTGTGTACTTGGTTTAAAAGAGGACAACTCATCGTGTAATATGGTGCTCGTAATGAGAAACCCCGGAATGAACGTCACGCTAGTCGACATGTCTAAAATGCAGAAGCTTCACATTATTACTGCCCATGTGCTGAGGAGACGACCAAAATACCGGGGCGATGAAAGCTATCCGCTTCTCCTTGTCAATGTACTCGGATTCTCCTTCTTCTACGCGTATATATGTAGCAGCTTTTTCATCATGGTCTTGATAGCCCCAGGCAAAACCTCACTTGGAAGTTGCCCAGACGTCGTAACAAAACATTCTTGTAACCCATCTTGCCGTCAGATTCAATAAGCAACCAGTTGAAGTTTCTGAGGTTCCAGTAGATCAAGCAACATATGTCAGTGACAGATGTGCTTGGAGTCGTTTGCACATATTATAGACACCATCAGCTATAAAGTTGACGAATAGTCGACACCAATCACCAGTTGCTAGTAACTGGCCAAGAAGAGGGCCACGAATTCATCCAGCTCCATTATCCGACTGGATCCTTTGAAGCAGTCGGACAAACTCCAACTGTGTGCAAAGCCGCCTTTGCATGATCCAGCTGGTGGCTCTGTTGGCATAATCTGATCTCCGGGGCCAATATTTCCGTTCTTAAAAAACAAAACTACGTCCAGTCGCAATTTCCAACCATCGTCATAGCCCACCCAGAGCAAGTTGAAATGTACCCCTATCCCTAATACGAGGCAGTTGTTACAGCCGACAACCTATTCCAGTGATAACAGCACCAAGTCCAACAGTCTGACCGTTCCGCGTCTTCGACATTGTCAGCCTAGTACTGTTTCGGCCGGGTATGGAAATAAATAAATTACCAAAATAATTTCGCTCTTCGTAACTCCCCCACAGCTGTATACGGGTGATGGCAGAGCTGCGTCACGGCCTGGTCTAGTTGTGGTACGACGAGGTTCATGTCCCTTGCAAGGCATACCCGAGAAAAAAAAGAAAGAAAGAAAACCACGAGGCGCAACTACACTAGACTACTCAAGTAGCCAGTAGAGTACATGCAGTATTGTATATCACACACAAGATGGTGCTTGGCTTCATTGTGCCTAGCGGTATCGATGGCTTTATAAATAAAAAAATATATAAAATAAACAGCCGAGTGAGATTGCACCATTGCCATTCATTAAACTGTGCGTAGAAATGCTCCTTTCACATTGGGTTGTTTGATGAAGAAGTCGGGCTATCAGAGAAACTACATCGAGTTGGATCGCCTCGCATGGCACCACCTTGCCACGAGGATGACGGTGCAGATAATCAATCTTCAGACTTGTCTGTTTCAACGCAGTTACGCCTGGATGGATGGCAGTGCCTGCATCGCAAGCCCACTTGGCGAGTTGTCCAGCCTTGTGCATTCCGCGCACGCTGCCCATCACGAGGCTTCTAACCAGACTTGTTATTCAATTATTAGGGAGCATCGGTAGACCCAACCAATCAAGGGACGTGTCGTGCAAAGAACTATAGTATGAGAAAGCTAATGTGTAATTCCAATAGGGTATCTCTGCGAAGCAGGCTATATAAAATGTCCGTCATGCGCAGACCTATCTGCCAAGTTCAGGCTAAACAAACAAAAGTGACAGTCATCTTGATGACGAACAAGCCACATCAAATGGTATCCTAATACTGAGCGCTAATGTTGAAGCGCTAATGCTTGTGAGGCTCTGTTTTCCTCGTGTCTATCTAGATGCTATCGCAATGCGACTTTTCTGTAATCCCAAATGTTCCCGCTCCGAAATGAGATGCCCGCTCTGACTTTGTAGTGAAACCAAAATGCGCGTCCATGAGAGCGCTCGCTGTCGAAAGAGAGAAAAAACCGCTCAAGGAGATAATATCAACACACCACGATAAAGGGGCGCGTTGACATGTGAAAAAAAAAATATCCAAGAAAAAGGCCCGGAAAGGTAGAAAGAAATTAGATACTAGTAAATAGCCGATGCCTGCATGGTTGAGGACCTGAGACGGCGGTGTCGGTGCGAAGAGGAACCGTGTCCGTACCGCTATAGTGGTTGCAGGCACGTGGATCCCAGCGGCAATGGCGATAAGAAGATAAGAGGTCGACATCGGAATGTGAAAGTGAAATGTGTGCAAAGGTGTGTGCATGTGCAACTCCGAGTGAGGCGGGTCATCTTCGGCGTTGGGCCATCTGACCGAGGGTACTTGGGTACTTGGTCTGCAGGGTCCCGTGCAAACTTGCTGCCTTCTGTCACCTGCCGTCTGCCAACCGCCACTGGCTGGCAGCGCTGGAAACATGTGCGTCGGGTGCCGAGTCTACGAGTACTTTGGCCACCACGGAAATCCCAGCTTCCGAAGCGTGCTGCGGATCCGCCTCGGTACTGGCTGACTTTGTTTCGCTTTGGCCCAGTGGCTTTTCCGATCAGACCCGTTGCACGCTGGATTCCAGCAATGGCACACCAAACTCGACAGCCAGCTGTGTGGTCGTGTTTGCCTGGTGACACCAGCATGCTGCCTCGCCGTGGTTGGCTAGATTCGCTGCTCACCACAAGAGCATCCCGCGTCACCCGCCGGAGAATCGTGTTTGCACTGCTCTCGGGTGGCAGTCCCCGACTTTTTCCACAATGCATGCACCAGCCAATGAGGGCATCATCACTGGCAGTCGGCGCAGCTTCGTCATTTCCTGTGGCTGCGATATCGATGACCAACGGAAGCTGACTGGGCGAGCGGATTCGTAAGTGTGCAACGGCGCCTCGTGTAAGCTGATTTCGTATTGATGCGCTCAGATGCTGTTTTCAAACACGCTCTGGAACGTGTTACTCAGATGGCTGGTGCCTCGTCGGTCGATTTGCACGTGGTGTGGGGTATTAGATCTTGGGGTCTGATGTGAGAAAAGTGTGGGGGTTCGAGTAAAATGCCTGAGACCGTGGTGTAAGTCAGATGTCATTTTGCCTGCCAGGCAGGTCAAGGACACGCATAGACTTACTGTGCAAAACCATGGCTCGGAGGGCAGACGGATAAGAGTGGCAGTCATTCGTTGGACTCGGTTATCGTCGTCAGCGATGCATGTTTGAGCTTCGGGCTCTTCTTGGGAGTGCTTCTTCGAGCCCGCAGTGCGGCTTGGCGACGGCGCTCCTTCTCCATTTTGACTTGCCGGAGAAACTCCTTCTGTCTGGCAACTCGCTCACACTCTAGTCGAAGAAATTCTTCGTCAGAAATGCGAGGGGGCGAGCTGATTGCTACCGTAGAAGGTGATGATGAGCTGCTAGAGCTGGAGATACTGCCGACTTCGTCGTCATAGGCATCAGAAAGAAAGAGGTCGTCGTCCGAGAGATATGAGGTCGCGCGTGGCTCATCGTGCTCAGATTCTGATAGTGATGAGCGTCGCGGCCACGATGGGAAGGCGCACGTTGAGTCTTGATTCCGAATGTTGTTGAAAGGAATATCCAAAGGCGCCGACATAGCGCTCATCGAGCTATATGACCCGTACGAGCCATACATTGTGAGTGTTGTGGTTTGTGGAGGAATTGAGAGTAGTCGATAGTGGTTGTGCCCAGTACAGGGTGCAAGACCGAGTCGAGATTATTCCAATAGGTCTTTTTGCGTGGACGTGGTGTTGTCGTGGCACGGTAGATGATGAGTGTTGACGCAGAAACGTTCCAGGAGTAGGAGGGCAGAGACAATATAAAATATAGATGCCGAGTGTTGACTCGGCTGTGACAATTATTCAGGTCCCTCGGTTGATGGGTCCGTCGGGAGCCGGAACCGTGCCCCAAGAGGAGTTGGTGGGATCAAACGTGAGTCGGCGGCGAGAGGCTTCCGGGCTGGGGCTTGGGGGAGGACCGGTAAGACTCGCCAGGCCTACAAGTGCCAAACTCTGTTATTGAGCAGGGCACCGGACAATGATAAGCTTGTGACTGACACCTGATTGCCACACTAATTATGATGGCGTGGGTGACGGCGATGGCTGTCGTATGAACAGTGCTTCAAAGGCAGAATCGAGTGTTCAAGGGTGACTCCTGGGTGATGTTGGCGATGCCAAGTTTTGTATTCGAGGTCAGACGACAAAGGCTATATTAATCATGAGTTGGTAAAGTCGGTGACGTGCAAGCAGCGGACACGGCAGGCAACCGCGCAGAAGATATTATATACCAAGCATCACGGCACATGTGTGAATGAATCATCTGGGCGTAAGGTCTCGAGATGGGGGGATGGGGGGTGGAAAGGGGGGAAGGGGGTGTGAACAAGAGGAGCATTCAAGCGACTCCATGAATGAGCGACCAGTCTCCGAAAGGAGCAAGAAGGAACGAAGCGGAATGAATTAACCGCAACGGCAAGACGGGTAAGGGAGGAAGGAGGGGGCGTGTGTGAGCAGCACCTGCAGCTCCATGTACATATTTGAGGACATGGAACAACTGGATGCAAGCAAGCGGTCGGACCAGTTGGGACTGTCCGTGACTGACATGCTCGCCTTCCACATCTCGCATCCTCATTGCCGCCCAATTCTAATGAATACAACGCCGGGGCCCCCAGAGTTGCGGGATTTGACTTCCGCCTCCCCAAAAGCGGCCACACATACTGACAACACTTGAGCTCGAGCCCGCCCAAACCGCCCAAAAGGCCAGACACGGCCCGCCAGCTAGTCAGCTATTGTGGAAGATTGGGGGATGGTGGTGCTGTGCACCTCTGACCGCCTCAATGTCCAGCTCACACCCAACACGCCCAAAAAGCGTCCTCGTCCAATACAATACCACGGCCTCCCTCCCAACCTTGGTTGTCGCTGCGATTGTGGCCACCCCCCATGGCGGGCCAGATTGGAGTAACAATCCCACCGCTCGCCACGATAATACAGGAAATCCGTTTGTTTGCTACCTGTTTGCTCGTTTAGAGCAAGCCTAGCCGGTATTCTCTGCTTCGCGGGTTTGCCGGCAGTCTACGGCAAGATGGATGTACGGGGTGCTTACGGAGTACGGAGTGCACCATCGGTGCTTATCATACCTGAGTGACCGTCGGGAAACAAACAGCACCAAATATTCTGTTTACTGAGGATTAATCGTATATACGGAGTACTCCGTACTCGTATGCGCCTAACCTGCCAACATGCCATGCGTTTTGCCAAACCAGGCCGGTGTGTGAACCATGGCGCATCTCCCGCCTGCGAACTGACAGGTATGTAGCAGATGTGAGCGATTCGAGCGATACGGCTCTTGGTACAGACATCGAGCCGGCTGGCTGGGTACACACAATTTAATGCTAGCTTTAGGCTTCTGTGGTGGCTACTCCGTACTGTACATGCTATTATCTCAGTCACGGGTTTCTGCTCACAATTCCGTTGCCAACAAACGACATCTGGACTGCCCTCACCCGCGGCACACCGCCCCTATCTTCCGAGTCCGCGCCAAGCCAGGGTATCAAAGACACGGGATGTCGATAACAGGGTCCGTCTTATAGGCCCAACATTCGTTTTCTCGCAGTAGTTATCCGTAGCCAAGATATCACCAGAAAATACAAACAAAGCAAAACTTGGCCGGTTTTACCATCGGGCTGGCCAGACGCTTGGGAATTATAATCCACATTCGCATTTAACTTGAGGACCGGGTGCGGCACACGATGCAGATTGCTTCTTTTGCGCATGCCGGCCACGAAAATTCAACATGGCCCTCCGTATTGTTTTCTCCTCCACTATGGAGTACTACTTTCTTATTGCCCTGATGGCTATTCAAAAGAGGTGTGAGTGAGTGAGTGAGTTTGTGGTACAGTAATATTAGAAATTAGAACAAAGGCACCAGCCGCTCGCCGCTGTACAAAGAGGGGTTGGAAAGATCCTTGGTGGCGCCCGCAAGCCTCAAACCATCAAAAAGCGTGTCTTGTTTCCTCTTTGTAAGTGCTCCCTATCGACAGCTTGTACGCAGTAACACCAACGGGGGAACGAGTTGAGATGAACATTCTGGAGGGCAAAGGGTAACCAAGACATTACAGTAGGAAGGCGTCGTGCCACCAATGTAAATCTGACAGCTCGCAAAATATCCCCTCGTTGGTGCTACGACTCAGCAGCGGGAGGTAGCGAAGAAAAAATGAATACCAAGGCAATATACGACGCGTATGGTGTACAGAGCACCCGGCCGTTGACACGGTTCCCTCTCTCCACGGTGCGACAGATGGCTCCCGCCCACGACAAGATGATGGAGGCAAGGAGGAATTAGCCACGAGATGCTGCCATTCGACTCCGGAGGGCAACCCTAACCAAGGATTGTCTGGAAACCGTCAACGGGTCAGCCATTGATTCAAAGTTCGGGCACACCAGCCACAGCGCCTATTCGAGGAGCATGAATGGAGGCTGAGCACAGCCGGGCCTATTCATAACCCATTATTCTTCATTGACCAGGTGGCCCATCAGTCCCATCCACACCAGACAACAGCGTGGCAAGCTTCTCCGGCCGCCTAGCTAATCTGGGCTGGGCATTCTGAGGCTGATTGTTAGACGTCGTACCGACGGCTAAGAAGCTTTCCTGGAAGAGTTGTGGAAGTGAATGGGCAATCGGGCGCTGACAATACATACTAGGCAGTCAACAGTGGCGTACGGAGTACCGTGTACCGTGTCTACCTATTCAGCCCTACTATAGTCGTGGAGCCAGAAAGCAGCCATAGATGAGAATCCAAGTGCCGACCGGCAAGCCGATTCGCTTGCTCGGAGCGGGCTTTGCTTCTATGAGGCGCTGTGCCTGTTCCGTACATACAACACAGTAAGTACTCCGTATGCCGTTGGGTTTCGATTCTGAATGCGTGATGAATGAGTCAGATCTTGAAACGCACTCACACCTCACAGATAGGGCCGCATTGTTTTGCGGTGCCTGCACCGCCTTTTGGGTGAATTTTCAAATGGTGGGGCGTATACTTATGAAGAGCCTCCTTTGATGCCAGCCTTGGAACATTCTTTTTCCACGGGAAAGAGCTGTTGCTGCAGATGGGGCGGTGGTGGCGAGTGGGCATCGTATCGTACATACGGAGTCCTCCATGCTGCATACTTACCTAGGTACCTACTTACCGTCTTCAGAGTCATTGATGCCCTGACAACAACCTGGTACCGCAGGCCCGACAGGGACACGGTTTTTGTTTGTGTGACGGACAGAATGCGACAAAGAGACGCCTGCACCTCATATCTAGGTCGCATGCGTGTAGCTTCTTTGGCGCTGCAGGGCTGACAGACCGGAATCTCGGTCGTCGCCACGCGGGATACACAGTCATTTCCTCCCTCGTGCCGTGGCTCGTAGCGGGCAGAACTTTCGGATTGCTGACCGTGGAAATAGTCTCTAGCAGGCTAATGCCGTCCTGGGCGTAATACAGGATCTACACAAAGAGCTCGCCAAGCTGAGGTTGGTCAGAATAGCGTTGCAACGCATAATAACGCCCGGAGCAGTGGTCAGTCCTGTTCTTACCCCAGACTCCATCGTATCCCTATCTCCATTTTTAAAGAAGTCCTCGGCCGGAGGGTCCGCTGAAGGGAGTCAGCATTACGGAGTCGTCCAACGTCAGAAATAAAGCCGCTCTTCACCCCTTTGCCCAAACATACATACTCTGTTGTATATACGCAGTGGAGGAGCAGGCAACGTGCGTCTTCCCCTTCCTACAAATATACGGAGTACTACCATCTCTTTCTGCCGGCTTGGGTCATTTGAAGACAAGTTGTCACATCGAACGCACGGCACGGTCACTATATGAAACAGAGCCGTGGGATTGGTTGCTTGTCGCGGCGTATCGGTTGGATGGAAACAAGTGGCAGATTGGGTCGGATTCGCGGGCACCTGGGTTTTTTCCCCCCCCCTCCAGTGCTCGCTTGCAATGCAGACTGACCGCCTGTCTGGCCAAGACCTGGTACCCTGCAAGCGAGCATGCATTACTACTATGGAGTACTACGAATGCGAGGCTTACGCCCGCATAACGGATCCATGAAAGGATTGGGCCAGAACTGTTGTGTGTATTGGACCGAGTGCTCCGTATACCGTACCGTCTTTGGCAAAAGAATAAAACCAAAAGTAAAATGAGGCATGTCTGACGGGGGTCCATCGTCAGAGTCAGAGTCCCTTTCTTGAAGTCCAAGTTATGTATGGAGTATGTCATCTGCGAATGTCGACGATGCTGACTGAGCCTGGTTTGTTGAGCCATTTGGTTTGACATCCGTGTTATACATGGCATCCACTGGATATGGTAGGTAATATGACTCATACTGGTCATCCCTTGACTGACGAAATGTGGTTACAGGTTACAGGTTACAGGTTACAGGTTACAGGTTACAGGTTACAGGTTACAACAATCGCTGAGCAGCACCGCCTTTTGGTCTGTACGGGCGGAGTAAGTGCTGTCGACGTGTGTGGCCTCGGCCATGAGAGTATGGAGTCTGTACAAATGCTTGAGGGACAAAATTGCTCATCCGTGGGTACCATCTACGTATGTGTGTATGTATGTGCAGAGGACCTAGGAACGTGGCTGCTGTTCGGCATATGATGGGCGGGCCACTGAACCCTGACACTTCAGACGATACTCGATACAATCGAATCAAACATCTCCCAGGCATAGATTGTACCATGTATGCCGGTTCATCGGTATCCCACGAAAGAGCCGGTGAGCGTTCACACGCATCTCTCAGGCACACCGATAGACGGGCCCAAAGGTACTACGAGCCGGATGATTGCTTGCATGTGGCTTCTGCAACAGCACGGCAGCCGATGTCCATCATTTAGTTTGGATACACACTTCCGGTCCGCATCTTTCTGATAGTAGTTTGACTACGACTGTTGATGTGGCCATGGTGCCAGCGCACACTTACATTGCTACCCATCGCCATCCGCCATCCGCCATCACACCGGCTGCCATCAACATGACGATTGGGGCCTGAGGAGAGTTTCTTCGAGGCCCGAGAAAAGTCATGTCTGTGAAATGCGGCATGGTCATGTTCCGTCCTAGATGGGATCGTATCCGCCGCCGCCGGTGCCAGGGGGGAAAAAAGCCGATTCGGAGTACAATATTGGTTTTCTTTTTCTTCTTTTTCTGCTTTGTTGTCCGGCATAGCAACCCGCCCGACCTCACTTTTTCCATACCCTATACTCCGTACGAACCCTACGTAACCTAGTACTAGTATGTCCCTTCCCGCCGCCGTCCCGAGAACTTGGCTCAGCCCCTTGTTGTCTCGTTTGGCTGACCAGCCAGCATCCGGTGTTCTATTCTCCAAATTCTCGGGACGTACATATGTACATACTTAAGTATGTTATATGCCTGCCTCCGGGGAGCACGGGAAAGAAAGCACCCTGTCCGCCATCGTGCCCCTGTCTACTTTGTATTCTCCACTGTTACCCTTTGGCTCGCCACGACGACGAAGAGCCAAGGGATCTGCTCGTTAGACGGTATTCAGGGGAAGGGGAAGGGGCCGGGGGTGGCTCGTCCCTGAATTAAACACGATGCCGCCTGCCTCCCTCTGTTTTTCTGAGCAACCTGAAAGCATCGAGAATGCGCAGTGTCATGGGTGCGAGCTTCTCCAGGGTTTCTCAGCTAACCCGTCCATCCAATCGCTGACCAACATGTCACTTTGCAAGATGGCGAGAATCCGCCAACTACATACACGCCAATCAGCCCATGTTGTTAGCGTCGCCCGCAACACGGAGTAATCTCCCCAGATTACGGAGGACCTCTCCCCGGACAGTACGCCGTATCCCATATTCCGGGGAACAAACCCGGCGTGGCTGAATGGCTGAGAAACACCCGCCTGTCACCTCGTGAGGCCCGAAACTCTTCGCAAACACCTCCACTTGGGAGCCTCCTGGTCCGTGACTCTAACTCGTTTGGGTTTATTGGATATCTGGTAACACTGGCCGCTAACTGAGGCAAGCCATGGTCCTCTTTTCTTTTTAATATACTCCGTAATTCTTCTTCTTTTCTCTGGCTTTCGAATCTAGAGCCGTGAAATGAGCTTGGGCTGTTTGTTCCCCCTTGAGCATCTGTATTTTGTTTCATCATACGCAGTCTTCTCTGCTGTCTGTTGGTGGCGATCATGTTGAACAGGAGGGATTCGGAGATGTGACGAGACTCGTGGGCGGCAGCTTTTACTCCGTGCTGCATCCTATCCGCTTCGACGGTTGGCTCTTCCGCCGTTGTTGGTTCTTCAAAACTCGTATCGTCAGTGCCCGCTAATATCAACTTCCGAGACAGCTTGCTGTGATTGTGATACCCAACCGATGAGGATTCTGCAAGTAGTAGTTATTGCGAATGCCAAAATTGGACTCTATCCTATCGAGCGAGAAATGGCACAGTTTTGATTGGACTCGATATCGTTGTCCGCGTAGTGTAACCCGCGTGCCATATTACGCCAGATACATCCACGTAATATCTAACTCCGTAGCAGAATCGAAATTTCGAGCAGGTTTGTAAAAGATTTTTTTTGTCACTGGAAATCGAAGCTGTCCGTGCACCGCATCGGTCGACTTGGTGTACTCTGTACGGAGTACAAAGAGCCGCTTTGACGCGTTATGTCCGATTTGCATGTTTGCTGCGCCGTGTGTGTTGGTCTGTTGGTGTCGGGCGAGCCATGCATGCTTGACAAATACCATCAATCATTCACCTCAGACCTCGAGTCTGGCAGTAGTGACGGCCAAGGTCTACCTGCTGAACTTGTGGCGCCGGCAACTAGTTCCCCAGCAGAAATACAAATCATGTTCCATCGAGTTCTGTGTTGCAAACCCAGCCGACTTCCGTCGAGCGTTGCGCGTATCCGACAACAAACAACTCTGCAGAAAGAGCCTCGCAGTGTATACCACACAGCCTGGGGACTCTGCATATTGTCCCAAATAAATATAGGCCATTCTTGAACGTATCAACAAACAGCAGTGTTTGGGGGAAACACCACCTGGGTTGAATAGCCTGCAGGGTAGGCAAGGACGGGACATGCATATCGTTATCGACCAACTACCTACTTAGTGACCGTTTTCTACTCTGCAAAGAGCGGCGGTAAACAGACATGGACAATTTGAGCCCTCGGGACAAAGTATTGTTACCATGCTGCTTTCTCGGGCACAAGGGAGGGGCGCGATAATACAGAGATGGTAGACCTCGCGCGCCATCTTACCGCACGGCGCCGTTTGTGACACAGTCGAAGGAAGATATTGACCTGGTGATCAACTGGCGTGCGCCCTTGGGTGTATGTGTTGTCACCTGTGGTGGACTATGGGAGTGGTGGTATGAGGCAGAATGCCGAGGTCACGGAGCTAGGTTGGAGCCTACATGGAGGGCAAATATAACCCATTTTGGCTACAATATGAAGATACATTGAGCATATCTTGCTGACGAGTACCTACCTAGGTAGGTACCCATGTAGTTATCCAATACCGAGACGCCTGGCACGTTTGCCTTCGTCACAAGCCTCTCATCCCCCAGACCACATCACAAAGAAAGCAACAGACGAAACATGTTGTAAACTCCGGGCAATAATCTCTATGCAAGAGTTACTATGCTTGCCAACAAAAACCGTGTATATCCTGCGCCAGAAACGCCCTTGCCAATATTACCGCAAAACCACCCCAAACGCTCTCCTCTCTGTCCGCACGCCTAACTCCTCAGCGCATCCAACCGATTCCGCATCTGATCCATCATGGCCTCTGCATCCTCCTCCTCCTCCTCCTCTACCTCCTGTGTCTGCGGCTCTGGCACTGGCGCAACCGGCAAACTCGGCTCCTTCCTGTCCTTCAAAATCTCGCCCAGCACCTTGTCAACCTCGCCCTCGTCCTCCATGAGCATTTCTCCATCCTCGGGCAATATATCCTCAACCATCTCCTCAATGATACCGGCCTTCATCAGCTCTGTGCTCAGCTGTTGCATGGTCTGTGCCATCTCGGGCAGGCGTATCAGCCTGTTCAGGTCCTTCATGATGCCGACGCTGGAGCGGATGGAGCCCTCAATCTTGCGCACGGCAAACGCCTCGTTTACTTGCATCTGGACCGAGTTGAGCTGGGCCTTTGAGGTGATTGTGCGGGCGGAGGCGCGGCGCTGGCGAACGAGCTCGTGGGCAAAGTCGCGGACTTCCTTTTGGGCTTGCTTCGCGCGGGCAGGGTCTTTCTGGGCGCGCTTGTCGGCCTGGATAATGAGGTTCTTGATTTTAATTTCATTTTGCTTGTTGGCGGTGATGTCCCGGTCTAGTTTGCGGATATTGGAGCGGATGAGGGCGTTGCATTTGCGGAACTAGGGTGCACGGGTTAGCACTTATGGACAACGGTCTCTAGTGTTTTTTTTTTTGAACCGGATTAGGTCGGGGGATGGAGAGACTGACCTGTGCTTGGGGATCGGGTTTTGCGAAAAGGTTTCTGAATGTTTCCATGGTGGTTGGCTCGGGTTCAGGATGGACGACCGGAGGGGTCGTCTGGTGAAGTTAATGGTGGTTTGAAGCCAGCGAGGGAGGCATGGAATGAGGACACTAGATGGGCGTCGTCTCGGTTGGAGTGGCGCCTGTTTGACGCTGGGTCAAGTATCTGGCGATGCCGGCGATGTCGAGATGGAGTGACACGGCGGTGACGTTGAATGCCGTGGTGGTAATACTAACAATGTAGTCATGACACGAGGCTGGAGTGGTGGAGTGGTGTTTGCGTGCTGGCCATGGGTTATCATAGGCAACCAGACAGCAGTAGCAAGGCACCGCGGGGTCGTTCCAGTCAATGATGGCCTGGGCAGCGGGGCGAACAGCTGCAGCAGGCCGACGCTGGTAAGCGACTAGGCAGGGACGGTGATAATTATAGCCCGACACAGATGTATTTTATTTTGCCTTTTTTAAAAAAAATAAAAATAGATACAAATAAATGAATCATCGCGGATCAGGTTTGACCGTTGGCCTCATTCCACCTCGCGCTTGGCATGGAGTAGGTACATACATGACATGTACGAGGTGCCTTGGCCCTTTGGTCGACTGCCGTCAACTGCCCTCGCAGAGAAGGAGAGACCCAGAAACTCATCCGTCGTTTACCCAGTGTGCCATGTGCAATGGATGTGTATAGTACGCCGCAACTATGTACGGCCAATATTTCTCGGCATCAGTTTTGCTAAACTCCCGCTGCTGGCATGTTGCCTGGCGCAGCTTGACCACCCGTCTAGCTTACCCCCCTACTCTATATTCTGTTTCAACTCTCCTCAAATATACCTAGGTAATTTATGGTGAAATATATTTACCTATTATAAAGTATACACGAATATACTATAACATAGTAGTATATACAGCCTGACTGCCAGGTACCTGGTAAGGCGTAAGCGCACCTAAGTACTTAGCAAACAGAGTCTCGTGAGCCCGGAGGGCAATTCACGTCAAGTTCTCCGTACCCGCGAGCGGAGCCTGAGCCGTCAATGGACCCACTTGCGTAGCTGCAGCTTCCTGCTCGCTGGGGTCTGGCAGCTCCAGACATTTCCTCGCTGTTCTGACGCTTTCCACAGCTCCAGCTGCAACGAGTCAACAGCCAACGAGCCGCATCCGCCCGCCACTCACCTGCTCTGTTCGGTGTGTCGGCATCCACTACCCAGGCCATCTGCCCACATCATCAGCAACCTCTTTGCAAGGCAGCTTTGTTTTTGAGCTCCCGTTTTCCTTCCTGCCTCTACCCACTCCGTGCTCTGGTACTGAACCGCCATCGAACCTCGCCTTCTACACTGCCGCTGCACTTTTGTACTTTACTGACCTGCAATTGCTCATCGAGTAGCTTCAACGAGGCAGTCGCCCTTTCTCACCGCACCCCGCTTTGCTTGCAATCCTGCCTCACTCGTCCTGTCATCCATCCTTCACCATGGCCGAGACTGCTACCCCCGAAGGTTTGTGGCCGCTCTTCGATGCCATCACATGCGAAAGCCGTTTACGCTGGAAGCCCACCACCTCCTCTCTAAAAAGGCAGGAGGGAAAGGGAATGAGAAATAATAACACACGCCTTCGCTGATAAGATAGCCCCGCTGACCATGCTCGCTTAACAGTTCTCTGGGCCCAGCGCTCTCCTCAATCTGCCGAAGACGAGAACAACTTCGTCTTCTTGACTATCAACGTTCCTGATGTACCCAAGGACGGCATGCAACTCGACCTCAAGCCTGACAGCCTGACCTTTACCGGTACCTCGGGTACCCTGAAGCGCAAATACCATGTTGAGCTTCCATTCTATGCCGAGATCGACCCCGAAGCGAGCAAAGTTCACCACACCGCTAAGAACATCGAGATTAAGATCCAGAAGAAGGAGCGCAATAAGGAATACTGGCCGCGACTCCTCAAGGACTCAAAGAAACTTCATTTCCTCAAGACCGACTTTGATAAGTGGGTTGACGAGGATGAACAGAACGAGGCCGCCGAGGATGATTTCTCGCAGTTTGGCGGTATGGGTACGTAACGAAATCGTCGATAGACATATTCATAGGCTCTATTGCGAAAGCATGGCTGGTGCAGCAAGTTTGCGAATCAAGCATTGAAGCTAACAAACATACAGGTGGCATGCCGGGAATGGGTGGTACGTCGACATGAACCTCCATCTTGATTTTCCAGTATACTGCGAGGCGACTTTGCCGTGATAAAGCCTTATGACTTGACGCCAATGAAAAATGAGTTGATTTTGCTGACACGATGCTTACTAGGTGACTTTGGTGGTATCGATTTCTCTAAGCTCGGCGGTGCTGGAGGCATGCCAGACCTTGGCGCAATGGGAGGAGAGGAGGGTGAAGAGGACAGCGGCGATGACGACGACGAAATGCCTGCGCTGGAGGGTGAGGAGGGTGCTAAGAAGGAGTAAAAAGGATGATTGCTTAGACGGGTGGTCAAGCTGTACCAGGCAACATGCCAGCAGCAGGAGTTTAGCAATGACTGACGCGAGAAATATTGATCAAGGATGAATAATGGAGTCTTTCGAAGCCGGTCTCAGTCGCACACACGCTCTCTCACATGCCCTCTCCCCCCCGTTACGTGTGTCCTGTTTCTTTCTTCTCCTCAACTTCTTGCGGCTGATTGTCCGGGGTCGGTATTACGCGTAGGCCTCAAGAGGCATGTCAACACCGATGCCCATGTAGGAAGCACGAGCGACAAATCGTAATCCCAGCAGCCCTCAACCACCATTACCGCGTCATCAAACGACATAATTCTCAAGTCTGACAAACCACACATGTCTTTGCCTCCAACAATTCCTTGGCCAGCGCGGTGATACACCCCCACTCCGCCATCACATTCACCATCTGACCCCAAGTGCAACCTCTCTCTCTCCCTACCGCTCCCGTCGCACCGAATTCTCAAGGGTGGCTTGCCCACCCAGACACCCGGGAACGGACTCGCATCCCAGCACCATCTACACACGCACTCGACGACACTCAGCAACCATGTGCGTTCGGCGAGCTCGTGCGCCGTCTCCCCAGGACAAAACCACCAAGAGAAACCTCCAAAAAAAAGCCATCTCCAGAATCCAAGACAATCTTCGTAAGTCATGTAGCCAGCAGGATGTAACAACCGACCCGACAGCTTGGTACGCCGGTTCGCCCCTCGCCTCTCGCCCCCGGCTCGCGCCTTTTCTTTTTTCTTTTTTCTTCCTTGTCTCCGTTATATATACTACTAGCTCGCTGGGGAGGAAAGAGGTTAACACGGACCAACCTTCTGGTCCCTCTTTGCTCATTGTTCACTGTCTATTGTCCTCCTCGCACGTCCTCCGCGGCCGCTGAATTTTTCCTTTTCGGGGGAGGTTGGGAAAAAAAAAGACGAGCACATACATACGGGGGTTTTCTTGTACATTGCCCAGTGTCGCACCTTATACCACAGCAACCTCGATATGCCCGCTGCTACTTCGCCCATCTACACCTCCCTGGACGCGGCGATGGCAGCGTACAGCGGCGCTTGTATCACGGCCTGGCCTGCTGACGAGCCGTATGTCGTGCCGCCTTCCGTGGACAAACTCTCGAGGGACACGGGTTACAGAAACCATTCTATACAGGGGGCCTCTCGGAAGTCATCTACGGGGAGCTTGGCCGAGTCTACGACGTCTTCACTTTCGTAGATTACCATGCCTCATGCGCGACGTCTTCATTTTTCAACAAACTCTTCACCAATCATCATAGACGCTACTTTGACCAGCTACAAGACTCATGGTTGTGGGCGCATGGCAGCACTGGGCAATCGAATCATGTCAATCTTGGTTGGCATTGTCGCGTCCTGTATTCTATATTGGACATCTGCATTGCTATCAACGTCCTCCGCTTGGCACCAGGCCTCTAGGATAGCAATATAGCAACAGAAATCATGTCGACCCCGACCTTTAGAGCCACGCTAGAGTGAACCATCCACGACGCGCATTTTCACCTCTGCACCCGCTCGTAAAGACAGTTTTTTGATATTTATTGGGTATTATAGTTAACATAAAATTTAATAAGGGTTCCAATTTTGCTGCAACGTGTACAATTACTACACAAAAGTTAGTCATCTGTGCAAGAAGAGAGCACGCCATTGAACATACCATGATCTCATCCTCCATGGGAGCGTCACCAGTGGCGCCGGCTGCGCCAGTAGCACCGGCAGCTCCAGCATTTGCACCTTCGGCATTACTCTTGAAGTAGTCTGTCATCTCCGAATCCAGCTCCTCAGCTGTCTTCTTAGCAGGGCGAGCGCTGCGGCCACGGCGCTTCTTGTTGGCTGCCTTGGCATTGCCAGCTTTTCCAACGCCACCGGTAGCACCCTTGCCAGAAGCAGCTGACTTGGGCTGAGCCTTGGGTTGACTAAAAGATTTGTCAGCTTTTGGCCCGGCAAGATGAGGGAAAGGTTCAACTTACGTAGCTCGTTCGGCCAGGGACTTGACCGCAGGCATGACTTTGTCGGCCTGAGCGGCACCGACGACGATTTCGATCTGTTTTTGTTAGAATCATGCTTCAATTTGTTGCCCTGACGATGGTTGCGTCTAATACTGACCTTGATGGGCCGGTTGTCAACAAGGAGGCCATTCAGCTTCTGGAAAGCTTTGCCAGCGCCGTCCGGCTTGTGGAAAGTGACATTGGCGATGCCGCGACTAACAGAGTTGGGGCCATAAACGAGGTCGACTCTCTTGATGGGTCCAACGGCTTGGACAAAATATTCCTAGCGAGGGAGCGTGTCAGTTTTATCGGTGGTCGGGAATCCAGTATCCATCATCTCCGCGAGTCCGAGCCCGATCCTGCACAATAATAATTGGCCGCAAACCGCAAAACAAGAAGTAGCGTTGAAACATGACCGAAGAGAGCTACGGCGGTTGACGAACGAGTAAAGCAGTGAGCCGTGATTGCCAGTAGTGAAATCTAGTGTTCTTCTCAGAACCAGACAATATAATATCTCGAAAGATGACAGCAAAGCTGGAACATTGGTAATCACACCAGTATAGTATGCAGCTTGGGCAGTCCGGAAGTTGAACTACAAATGACCGCATCGTGGCTGTATCGGGAATGATGACAATCCGGTTGTTGCATGCTGCTTCCAGGCCCAAATATACGCATAATATGCATAATGTTGATTAGGTCGCAGCCTCCCTCTCCTCATATCGCAACAACTCGTCGCCTTTTCGATTGACTCTCGTGGCCATGGCATGGCCCACTGCTATACTCGTTTGCGTCGAACTGTGATGCGATGGCCGCATCACGTGGGCAGATGGAATAAACCACACGGACCCGTGCCTCTTGAACCCATTACCGCAGTTTTTTCAAATCATCGCTTAGCTCTTTTAACATTGCTGACCAGGCATGTAATGAGTACAATGCGAGATGATACTGCTCTCGACCTCCAACGCGATGCACCATGTTTCAGATACTTCAAGCAACTCGGAGGGAGATTCGGGTATCCGGAGCACCATGTCACAGGCATGGGAGGCAAGCCGTTCCAGACGAACGTCTGGACGTCGGAAATTTACAAAGAGGAGCACGGCGAGGGAGGAAACGTCGAACAAAGTCCGGAAGGTGCTACGCCTTCAACGGAAACATACCTTGATCTGCTGCTCCGAGACGTCCTTGGGCTGAAAAAACTGTCAGAGAGATGTTGTAAATCCTTTTTTTGATAGAAACGCACATACCAGATTGCTGACAATAACCTTGCTCTCTCCATGAGCAGCCGCGGCTTTGGCAGGAGCGGGTTTGGCTGCGCTGCCACGAGCAGGCTTAGAAGCCTTCTGAATACCACCAACAGGGGCGGCAACTTTGGGGCCAGTTGAACGTCGCTGAGAAGAGCGGCGGTTGCGGGCAGACTGGCGCTTGGCCGAGACGATGTCGTCAAGAGGCTTGTCGAGCTTGCTGGACATTTTGTATGGTGATGACAAATAAGATGCGCCGACTTGTCGGAAGATGGTCTTTTAAAAAGGGAGAATTGGTCAAAATTGAAAGCTTTCACGATAAGCGATCAAAGAAATGAAAGACAAATCACTAGTGTGATTTGACGCGCGTATCAAAGGACGTGAGGCGCAAACAGCAGGTCGGTGTCGCCGGAATGATCTGAAAGAAAAGTGTGATCGAAATGAAAAGACCAGAATGGCTCGGGCCAAGTCTAAAGAACGGGTCGTACGACGCGCGATCTTGAAGAAGGAGAATGGGAAGCGATGATCGCTTTTTACAGCAGCGACAAAAATGTTTAGTTGAAAAAGCCTGGAGATGTTGATGGGGGGAGGAAGGAAGACGAGTCAAGGACAGGGAGAGGAAAAGGGAAAGGCGGCTGAGCCAGGAAAACACGCCCCAAGCCCGGAGGGGGAAGGCGCAGCTGCCTGCGGCTGCCGCAAGCCAGACCGGGTTGATTCAAGCGTAGTAGGGAGTGCATAACGTAAGCACCAGCAAGACATTGGCCTAGTTGGGCATTCGTGGATTTCAAGCCAATTAGAGTTTGGCAACGCTGTCCGTAATGCCGACCAGTTGCTGCCTTCTATCGACAATGAATGCCCAACAAACGGCAAGGAATATCCCGTCACTATCGGCTGTATTTATGCAGTCAGTGCTCGCCAGCCATTGTTTCGACTAACTCCGTTTGAATCCGTCATACTTAACCGTATGCAGGAAGAGCAGCCGGTCTGGGCCATCTCAGCCTTCCTCTAAACGACATGTCTGTCACAGCTCACTCATTGCAAAGGACGAAAGTGTTCATATAGTGAAGGGTTGGATAGTCAGCATACACATAGCTCATCGGCATCTACTGTATGAATTCCATTCATTTTTTGCGAGTCCGCGGCTCTAAATACCAGGCGGATCAAGACGCGAAAGCTGGGCTTTGGACACTTCTGACCATGGAAAGAACTTCTTTAGCCCGTGCCAGATGATGTAGGCCATGGGCTATGGGCCGTGTGCCAAATGCCATACGCCTGCGATGGATATTGCCTTCAGTCCGACAACGTCCTCTCGGGCTTGGCAGTCGTCGTGGTCTCCAACGATGCAAGTCTGTTAGAAAGAAGTTGCCTCTGCTTTCACGCTGGCAAAGTGCCATGTACCGTCGTTCATCGGCCAGACTGTTTCTTTTTATTTCTCTATATCTGTAACTTTTTCAAAGTGAATCTGAACTGCGCACCGCTGTATCGCGGCTAATCCACACCCAAGGGCTGAAGCCCTTTGACCGATGGAAGCGCCTCTCGATGCCCATATTTGTTCCCAACGCCAGGTACGAAGAACTAGATATCCTTCTCGAATTTAGAATATTTCCTTCAGTCATTGACAAAGCTGTTTGCACGCACTGCTATTTTACAATCGCCTACAAGATTTGGTGTCCTCGTCTTTAATGCTCGCTTTCTCTGTCTCCTCATTGAATCATGACGATTTGGCATGTTCGGCTTTGTTTGCAATTGCATTGGTTTCGAGAAAATGATATGCCACAATTAGAAGCACGGAGGCTGCTCCAAAGAAGACGGCAAGGGAGAAGAGATCGCGATCGGAGATCATCCTGGCGACGGGCAATGCGACAGAGGGTATTGATGGTCGGTTGTATTGCTAAGAGGAGCTGCATTAGATCACGAAGCCCTCATTGCAGCGAAAAGTCATAGCACTGGAGAAACTCACGCGAAACGCTGATGGCAAGACCGTCGAATGGTTCAATAATTGTATGCGATAGAGGTGATCAAGGAGGACAGCTGGAGCTTTCACGGAGTCTTGTCAGCCCAGGTACGAAGGTACGTACCCTCATGCTAGGTGTCGTTACGTCCGCCGAAGGCACCGCCCACTCTATTTCGTAACAAGCCCACTATTTTGTGTATGACCACTGAACAGAGGACTGTAAAAAGAGGGCCGAGCACGTGATCCTATCGATCTCATCCGCCAAACGTGGCGGCCCGTCAAAAGTGACGAAACGACCAACTGATTCATTTTTCTCCACGACGTCGGGACGCCTTTTCATATAAGCCCAAATCGAGCGTGCCAGTTTGGCGTCTTTCCTTCGTCGAGCCCACGGAAGCAGTGGCCATTCTATCTGACACCGATATTTCATTCAGCATCGACATTCTTACCGACCCAATTACCTTTGCTTAAAGACCGTCTGCATTTGAACGACCCCGCCACCGCCCAACATGCCACCCAAAAAGGCCGATAAGGGCGGTGGTGCCGCCAAAAAGCCTTCGGCCACCAAACAAGTGGAAGACAAGACTTTTGGTATGAAGAATAAGAGAGGTGCCGTCGCCAAGAAGCAGATTGCCCAGATGACAAGCAATTTGAAAAATGGTGTAAGCCCTGAAGAGAAGAAGAAGCAAGCTGAGAAAGCCCAGAGAGAGAAGGAGAAGAAGGCCGCCGAGGACGCCAAAAGGGAAACAGAATTGCTTCTTAACAAACCTGCTCAAATACAAAAAGTACCGTTTGGTGTAGATCCCAAGACGGTTTTGTGCATTTTTTTCAAGAAGGGAGATTGCGAGAAGGGCAAGAAGTGCAAATTCTCGCATGACCCGAATATCGAGCGAAAGACCGAGAAGAAGAATCTTTATGCAGACACTAGAGGGCAAGAAGAGGAAGAAAAGAAAAAGCAAGAGACTTCTGCCGAATGGGACGAAGAACAACTGCGGAAGGTGGTCTTGTCAAAGAAGGGCAACCAAAAAACAACGACGGAGAAGGTGTGCAAGTTTTTCATCTCAGCTATTGAGGATGGAAAGTACGGCTGGTTCTGGGTTTGCCCCAACGGTGGAGATAAATGCATGTACAGACATGCCCTGCCTCCTGGGTACGTCATTTTCTGCCTGCTAACGTATGTGATCATGTTTGCTGACCTGGCACATTATAGATTCGTCTTGAAAACAAAGGAGCAAAGGGCAGCCGAGAAGGCACTTATGGACAAATCACCACTCAAGACGCTCACTCTGGAAGACTTCTTGGAATCTGAGCGACACAAGCTCACTGGAACTCTGACCCCCGTCACTCCAGAGACCTTCGCCAAATGGAAGAAAGAACGTCTTGACAAGAAGGCTGCCGAGGAGCAGCTTCGCAAAGCCAAGGAGAACACGGGTCGTGCACTTTTCGAGAGCGGCAAGTGGCGTGACGAAGACGACTCTGAAGACGACGACGACGACGACGCATGGAACATTGAGAATTTGCGACAAGAGACGGAAGCATTGCGTGAGACGAGGGAAGAACAAAGACTGGCCACTATTCATGGGGGCGAAGTACCCCTGACAACAGAGCTAGCCGAGTCCGAGGATAGCGAGGAACAAGCCGGCCAGGTAGCAGAGGCAGGCCCTGCCGGTGCTTGAACGAGATTGTTGATCATGGTTCAAGATGAAGGCTATTCCAGCCCGGCCTAGTTTTCTTGAGAGGAACGGACAGAGGCAATTCCGAGCACTGCTGGTACCGGCCATGAAACGACGGAACCTGCTGGACGACCCTGCATGTGTGGGAACTCGTCATTCCGAATGAGCGAGATGTATCTTGCTGCATTCATCAGTATTACGTAGCGCATCAGAATGGCTAGGGGAAGGAATATTCCGAGATGATTTTGAAGTGAAAATCGAACTGTCTAGGAGAATACAATCATTTTAGACATTGAGCTATCAAAGACCACGATGAAGATGCTATCCTGTGCATCTAGTGGATTCATCGTCGGAAAGTGTGCCGCCAAGATTGCTGGACTTGGTCACCGTAGTTTAGGCAAACCATGCTGTTCCTCAGTCATGCACTGTTGCCTCCAACACATGGACTTGCCTGCATCTGGAGCTGGAGCACTGTGTTTGTGTTCGCTCCAAGGCCATTCATCACAACCTCATAGTATATTTGGGCAGTGTTCTAGTGGACTTGCCTGAACCAAGGGCACCCTTGTCCATCTTCCCTATCGGCAAGATGGAGACGACACTGTGCACGATATTAGCCGGCAAATGCGCCCCCAAAAGCCACGAAATTCTCATACACGCCATGATGGGGCCGAAAAGACATTCTGATTGCTGGCGTGATGCTGTAAGAGGATGTGGGAAGAGGGGTCATGCAATAGTACTTGGAAAATACCCCTAGTGCTAGCTGCTGGTAGGTGGGAGGTACCTTGGCACTTGAGTAAGGTCTGGTACTTACTTAAGTAGGTTGCTGTATATTTTGGTGCTACAGGTAGTGGGATCTGGCCGCACCAGTGTTGATGAGAACAGCGTCAATGGACGAGCCTGGAAGAAGCATGCTCAATGGCAGGTAACATTGTCACTGGACGTTTAAGTCGGTTCCAACCCAACCACGAGGAACATGAAGCAGATGGTAGCACTCTGGCATGTGTTGGGCACAGTCACAGGACGCTGTTCGTCCTCAAGTACCTGAGCACTTTGGTTTGGTAGTTCGGGAATGTGAACTGTGATGCACAACTTGGATCAATGAACTACCAGACTAGTCGCAACGAACTCGTGTCGTGGCAGGCTTCAGGCTTCAGGCTTCCCGTCTTGTCCAAACATCAATCTACAGATGGTAGTTTGTCCCCGCTTTTGCCCCTCTGCGGTCAGGCATGCCATTGGGTAGCAGTGGAGCGCACTTGCCGCTGTTTGCCCAGCTCCACAAGCTTACGTCCCGCATTTCATCCCGAGAGAAACAGTAGTAGTACGTACTACTACTACTACATACGTACAATACTATGATTGTGTACAGGCAAGATAGACAATACTGGAAATATAGAGAACGTAGGGCTTTGCTTCTCTATTTTCCCTTTACAACTGTCTTTGACCCTTTTCTAAGAATGAAATTATTTGAAGCTGCATCTCAAACAAAAGGTAGCTGCTTTCTGTGTCGTGGAGGCTAAAAGCGACGCTGCTTACCTAAGGCATGCGTGCGAGGGAGGTGCAATGTACTCTGGACAGAGTACTCGGTTGAAATCGCAACCACCGAATTTAATTCTTTGGTTTAGGCTTACGCAGTTGAACGAAACCACAGACCTACCTAATGGCACTTGATGGTTGGGCCATGAGATGCGTGAAACGGGCGAATTGTAGGCAAATGACGGCCGGGAGTTGGGTTTGAGATGGGTGTGAGATGGGCGCGAGATACACATCAAGATGCGCAGGAGATGGCACCAGATGGCACCAGATGGGACCCTCGAGACGCTCAAAGTGGCATGGTCGATGCAGCCAAAGCACAAGTCACCAATGCCGACTGGGCTGTTGTTGAAACTCCAACAAATGCAAATGTCCAAGTGGTCCTTCTTGTTCTGCCTGTGGCCGACAACTCGCCTTGCACCCGTACATCTCACCCACACACAACATTGAACCTTGCTTCTTTGCTGCGGCCGTTTGTCGAGCACGCTCTGGAGAGCTGCTGGACACAAGCCTCTTCTTCATTGATCCTTTCCTTCAATGTTGTGAACTTGTGAAGTTGTTCCTCCTTGGATCGAATGCCGGCTCTGTCCCGCTCCACCCAAGTGCTGCAGCCCGTCCGCACAGGCCACCAAGGAACCCGAGCACTGACATGGACATGGAGCTCCCCCAAGCTCCCTTGGACGTTTGATTGTTGCCAGGCAGCACTTGAGCCCTTCCGGACGCTAACCGGTGTCTCCAGTCCACTGTGTTCGCTGCGCCAGAGCGTCATCCACGCCACCAGACCACAACCACCAAGCGTCAAGAACCCCTCCTTCATCGAACAAGCTGTGAATAGCAAGCACCGCCTTGGTTGTCCAATTCGCAATCACCGTTTCCCGCCTCTCTTTATACCTTGGGTGTCTTCTCAAATTTTCAAAGGGCCGCTGTCCCCGCCTGGACATTAGCAGCTGCCAGTCCTCGAGAACCGCTGCCGCTTTTCGGTGTCGACTTTCGCCCTCGTCCCCCGTCAGTACTGGATACTGAACCGACCATCCGATTGACATCCGCCGATTGATGGCAGCAGTGCTTCTGGATAACTAGGTCGTGCTGCCGCCCGCGCACACCCCAGGCTCGCTGCTGGTCTCGTCGCTTTTGTCGAGATCACCGGGTCTGAACCGCGCGCGCGTGTGTGCCGTGGCCGTCTACACCATCCGCCCTCTCACCTTGCTGCCTGGACTTGCTGTCGCCTCGTCTTCTCTTGTTTCCCCAGACTCCGGGCAATTCTAACTGCTCAGTGTCCCGGGACGAAAGACCGACGGCCCGAACTTGTCCAGAAGCATGACGGTGGAAGCAAAACGCGATCAGCAGCAAGATGTTCCAGGCCGCCTCATCGCGACAGCAGTCATGCCTTCTTCCACCAACCGCCCACGAGACCACGCAAACTCGTTCGTCAAGCGTTATCGGACCGAAATAGCTGCCAGCTCTTCGAGCGTCTTCTCTACGCTGGCTGCCTTCCCTCTTGACAGTGTCAAAACTCGCATGCAGACCTACCAATACCGTGGCTTCATTGACTGCGTCAAACATACTTATCGTACTGAACATCTGGGTGGTTTTTTCCGAGGTGAGCATTGGCTTCCTCCCTTCGATGGCGCTGTCATGGGGGTGGTTGTGTCGCAATTGGCGCGCTTTGGTCGCAGTCTCAACATCCAAACCAGACGACCCCTATGGCCCTTTTACATGTATACCGAAAAAGGCCACTCGATGAATAGCAATACTAAATTTGTGTCCTTCTTTCAGGTGTCATGGCCCCCATGGCCAGCATTACTCTCGTTCGAACCGTGTCATTTTCCATTTACCAACGAGCGAAATATTCATATGCGGCCTGGGTAAAAAAGAATATGGGATATGACATCCTTCGTCATGTGAACAAGCCGGGTACATATCCAAATCTATATTCGGTGGCCTGCTTCGGTGCCGCAGGCGCCACAGCCGGCTCTGTCATTACATTTATCGCCTGTCCGTTTGAGCTTACGAAGCTCAGTGCACAGGTATCTGTGCTACTGGCAGAAAGAGCAGGCAACTGTCAAAAGAGCAGAGCGGTAGCGTCGAGTTATCAGAATAAGGGAACTTTGAGGACCATGGCCAACATCATCAAGCATCGGGGAATATTGGGGCTTTACACAGGACTCAGGTTACACTTATGTAAGCTTATCAACTCTCGGCAAGTGCCTAGAACCGAAGGCTAATTGAAATCAACTAGTGCGTGATACGCTGGGGACATCAATCTACTTCATGGTGTACGAGAGCGGGAAGCAGCTCGGAACAACCCTAGCGGGGGACAATCCAAATAGCAACAAGCTGGCGGTGGTAACAGCCGGCGGCATGTGCGGTCTTGTGTCTTGGGCATTAATCTGTAAGCAGGCCTCATGTCTCTACCACCTTTGGCTACTGTCGCAACTAACACCATTTATAGACCCCATCGATTCCGCCAAAAGCATATACCAACGGAACTCACTCCTCCACTCCCGTGGAGAAAAAGTCGCTCCCGCCCCAAAGATCGAGTTCTTCAAACGTCACATGTATCGTGGGTTGGGTGTCTCCATGAGCCGTTCATGTCTTGTCAATGCCATCTTTTTTTCGTCATTTGAATTCGTCAAGAAGCGCATCAAGACGCTAGATGACGATGACAACAACAACATCAATAAGTCAAGGACATAATGTAACAACAAAGTGAAATCCCTCCTTTTCTTCAAAGAAAAAGAGAAGAAATCCAAGCCCTAAACCCCTCCGGAAATTAGGTTTGGTGACAGCCAGACGGCTGATTGTGCTTTACTTTTACTTGGCAGGAGGCTATCCTGCACATGCATACCATGAAACAGGCGTTTTTGCGGTCCTTTTTTTTATTTTATTTTTACACATTTACAGTCTCGGTGTCGACCTTGATCTATGGAATATGTTTCCGTAAAGAACTGCCGTGTTCTCACGAAAGTTCCTACAAACGACCAGAAGTGTTTAAAGTTTGGTCGCAGTATCAGGGCAAAGGAATGAGATGGTGACAGCTTTGAACAGCGCTCCGTCGAGAAAATGGACAACAGTGGGCAATGTAACATAGCAACCCAGGCGTGTTCGACTTGCTTGTTCCAGGATTGTTTCTGAATTACAAAGATAGCACCTCGGTGTCTGCCTGGAGACACTCTAGCGTAACTGGCTACTGGTGCTTCAATAGTATGTTACTCTAAAGTTTATCACATGAAAGACATTATTTAAGCCCTGCCAATGGTGCTCGTTTGTGCAACAGTCCTTGTGTCCGGGCCCTGCGTCGTAGAACAAGTGGAACTCGACAATATGGCGAGTCCTTTGGGCCACGGTCACTTTGTAGTCCAGTCGTTGGCACTTTTGCGCTTCAGAGCGGGCCAAAGCTAGCCTTTGGCTGTCCTCCTCTAATAAGGGTCGTGACATAGAATGTACTGTCGCGCTTTTAAAACGATGAGAGGCAAAACCTACACCACAACTCACGTCATAGAGATATTATGGTCTCAACATAACGCAAGGTGCCGTTATAGAGTGTCGGATGAAATATCTGATCGCGTTTCCGAAAATACAAATCGCCGAGTTTTTTTAGACCTCTTAAGGGGACCGTATATCAAACTCCATGTTACACATCAATCATGATAATATTTCAGAGAGTGATATTCAAACGAAATTTGCATCTCGGCAGAAGTGGTCAAAAATTCCCGCTAAATTGAATGCAGTGAGATGAATCCAGTCGCCGGAAGCAATGCAAGCAATGCCTCGTGGCAATCAGACTCCCTGAATCCGGATTTTTCTTAAAAACACAGCAAGCAATGCCAAACAACACGTGTCATCATCTCCCTTCCCTTCTAGTCTCTTGCTCTAAATCTGTAGAACTGTACTTTTTCCCTCTTTCCCTTCCTTTTAATGATTCCATTGGACTCAGCGACATATGTGCATGGCTTCATCCACAAATACACAGAAAAAATAATAATAAATGGGTAGGAAATGCTCATGACCATGTGTAAACCCTCATAAGTGATGACGTCCCTCCTTCTTCTTCTCCCAATATGCAAATTTATGCACTGATGAATTTCCATCACTGAAGCTCGGAAAGTTCCTGCTCTACCTGTGCCTTGACAAGCTCCCGGACCTTGCTTACACTCCCTTCCACCTCAGTGACCCGTTTCTCCTTCTCGGATAGTCCGACGAACTCCTTGGGCAGTACCTTGTTCTCAAAATCGAAGCCGTCTTGTCCGTTCAATGCCTTCTCCACTGCGCTGGAAAATTTAGCGGGGTGGGCTGTGGACAACGAGATGTGGTGAACATCTGGGCTGGCGTTGGCGGCGGATCTGATGGTGGCAGCAACACCAACGGCGGAATGCGGGTCCAGAACGTATCCAACCTTCTTGTACAGAGCCTGTATGGTTTCCAGGGTCTGGTTGTCGTCTACTCGCTCACTGTCAAAGTCGCGCTTGGCGCATTTCAGAACATCCTGGTAGACGGGGCCGAATGACCCCGTGGTCTTCAACTCCTTAAGCCACTTGGAAACCTCCTGGCCTGCCTGCTTCTTGTTCCACTGGTCGTCCATACCCGCACTTGAGGCAAATTCGTAGGCTAAGAACCAGAGCAGGCGCTCAAAGTTGCTAGAAACCAGAATATCCATGGCGGGGCTGAGAGTCTCCTTGACGCCCTCGGGGGCGATATCCTTGCCATCTTCGGGCGCGGGCTGCTTCTCGTACTTTCCAGTCTTCCAGAAGCGGTCCAAAATGTCGTTTTCGTTGGTTGCGATGACCAGTTTCTCAACAGGTAGCCCCATACGCATGGCAAAGTACCCGGCCAGGATGTCTCCAAAATTTCCAGTGGGCACGACGAATCGAATCTTGTCACCAAGCTTGAAGTTTGGGGATTGCTTAACCAGGGAGAAATATGAGTGGAAGTAATAAGTAATTTGTGCCAGAATACGAGCCCAGTTGATAGAGTTGACAGCACCAACGTTGATGGGCTTGTTGGCCTCGGGATCGGCGAGCATGGATTTCAGGATGTCCTAAAGATCAAAGTGTGTCAGTCAATCTTTGTGGGATGTGTAGTTGAATGATGGCATATTGAACGTATAGTACCTGGCAATCGTCGAAAGTCCCTTCAATGGAGAGGTTGTGCACATTCTTATCCAAGACAGTGGTCATTTGCAGCTCCTGGATAGGGCTTACGCGGCCCTTGGGGAACATGATGAATACCGAAACATCTTTTTTACCGCGTAGGCCGTAAATGGCAGCGGAGCCAGTGTCACCACTGGTAGCACCAACGACTGTGAGATGATGACGGTCTAAATCAAGGGTTAGTCTAAACCTGGTGGACAAGCAAGATGTTGCTGCAGGACCGCAAGTACAAAGGCAGGGCGTCTGCTTCCGTCACATTAACGGGGTATAGGTGGCAAAGAACCATACCTCTTCCAACTTTGCCCTCATTTTTCCTAGCTAGAAAATATTCGAACAGGTTGCCAACAAATTGAAGGGCAACGTCCTTAAAGGCAAACGTGGGACCGTGGAAAAGCTCGAGAAGGTAATGGTTGCCGTCAAGTTGGACGAGCGGGGTGACTTGGTCGCTGCGAAAAGTCGAGTAACTTCGGTTGACAAGATCCCTGAGATCTGGTGAGGGTATCTCGTACTGTGAGATGTAGAGAGACATGATTTCGTAGGCCAGGTCCGAGAAGCTCAGGTCTTTCCAGCTTTCCCAGGCCGTAGCCCTGGGGATCTGCTCGGGAATGTACAGGCCGCCATCGGAAGCCAAGCCACGTAGAACAACCTCTTCGAACGAGCACTATAGTCAGGACAAGGACGTTAGCAGGAGAAAAGAATGGTTGGGCGAGCGAGAAGAGAAAGAGAAAAATAAAAAGATGAATTGGTATAGCACATGATATAGGCATTGCCAATTGAGCGACGTAGGATGTAACCAGACGTGAGCCAGGGGTTACACGCGGCAGCGTTACTTACATCACTGTCCTCGCCGCGAGTGCTCAGGTAACGCTGCGACGGTTTATGAAAGTCGCTAGACCCCTCGGAAACTCCGTTTTGTGCCATTGCCCCGGTATGCCAGCTTGTGCACTAGTTCGAGGCGAAGCAGAGTGTGTTGTTGAGTGTCCAAAGGCTGGGAAGAAGCGGGCCGAGGATCGGTGTTGAGGAAATGACGCCCACGGGGAAGAGACGACAATGAGGGGCAGACGCAGCAAGTCTCGGCGCCTCGTGAGCCTGTGTATTGCGTACGACAGAATGCTCAAGTGGGAAAAAGAATGCGGGGGGGGAAAAGAAGAAAAAGAAGAAGAGATCAAGACAGCAACGCCCAGCGGAAGTGGCAGAGGCCGGGGGACAAAGCGCGGTTGGTATCGAAGAATGGAAGGGCAGAAAATTCAAGATGTCGAATTTGGCCAAACTTGCTGGTCGGCACTCCGCCAACCGCCAACCGCCAACGTTGGTACCCTTGCCTACTAAGCACCAACGTACTTAAGCATGTACTCCGTACCATGGACCCTTAGCACCAAAAACTTGCAGCCACTCGCCGCCTGTCGAGTCAGCCCCTCTTCCCAAACCAGCCTAGTGCGGGGTGTCTCTGCCACGGGGCCCTCGCTTGGCGGCGAGGTCAGACAGGAAGTGACTGCTGCGGTTGCGTCTCGTAGGTATAATATAAGTCACCGTCTTCGGCCCAGCTTGACAAAACGCCAATACGGGTTGTGAACCACCTGCTTCCCTGCATTCGCCGACCTCAATGCCGGGCAATTCCCAATCCATTCTGCCTCCGCCTTCTGGTCCCCTCCAAGATTTTTTGACCACCTGAATGCCGCATACAGATATAGGATTGGAGCCCGATCCACGTGGTCTTCCCACCTCGTCGTCTTTCCTTGGTAGTGTCGACCCATCGACCAGGCTGCATGCACCAAGTCCGCCATCGGGCAGCACCTACTGACGGACCGACAACTTACGATACATCAACTCGTTATGTACTGTTGCATTGCGCCGCGCCCCAACAAGAAGCATGTCTTTGTCCGTCCGCTCGCCAGCCAGTGCATCATGACGTAATACAACCAACAGCAGCGTTGAATCGCCCAGACACTGTGCTTGCCGCTTTCCATCCTCATGTTCCAGCTACACAAATACCCATGTCACCGCTAGTGTGTAGATTCGGGCGTGGCATCATTTGGCCATTTCGTCAAGAGAGGGGGAGTTCGGCTTCGAGGCTTTGAACGCTCTGAGGCTCGCGCAGCTCATGTAGATGCGCCGAGGTGCGTTCCCTCGTGCCTCACGCAACTTGTTCGGAAAGTTGGCCTGAATGTTCAGTACCTGATATCCGGGGAACTCACCTTCCTGGTGGAGGCTCTATGGATTGACGGCCTTGGATACAAGCTGCCACGGTGTATCTGAATCGAAGTTGCGTGGTAGCTAACACGTCCACGTGGCACCGACGAGCTGAATATGAACCCTGTTATAAGAATGCTCCAGCAAGTCTACCAAAGTCGATGGATCCATGAAATCACCATGCAGTATGTGACAGTACTGGTCGCACCAAACATGACACATGATGATACTAATTGGCTTTGGACGGGCAATACACATACACATACAAATACAACGCCCAGACTGCCGTGTTCGGCGTCTGCAATTTCAATTCATTACTTCGTTAAGCTTCCGGTATCTTTTGCTCCTTACTTAGTAGTCGTCCATTATGCATTTCCGCATTCCGTGACCACTGGCCAAATCGTGACAAAAATAAGAATAATTATACAACATGTCTCCAGCCTCATTTGCGGATGACTTTCAAAAGCGGCGCGATTCTCGTATTCTTGCTCAATCCGACACGATACAACGAGCGTCCTAACCCTCCCGTTGGCGTGGATGGTGTTTTCACCGCTGCTTTCTGCACTGCGGAAATGCCGGTGCCAACTTTAGCATCAGATATAGGAGTGCCTGGTGTTTCTTTCGTCACCGGCTTGACAGCTGCGTGGTTCTCCGTCTCGGCAACATCTGGGCCCAACTTCTCAATGGGTGTCGCTTTTACATCCGGTTGCGGTTTTATACCCGGCTCAGTATGGGTATGTTCAGGAATAGCCGGTGCAATCTCTTGCACCTCATCGTTGCTGTCAACCTTGAGCACTGCCGCGGATTTCTTCGGCCTTCCACGTTTCCTTTTACCATTTGTTTCTGGATCCGTTTCCTTTTCCTTTTCCATTGGTGCAGCCGTATCTGTTTTCCTGGGGCGACCTCTTTGTTTCTTCCCCGCTACTGGCTTCGGCAACTCTTTCTCTTCGAAAGTCGGGCCGTCATGCTTAGCCTCGCGAGGCGAATAATCTCCCCCGTCACTTTCGTCGTCTGAATCTATAACCACCCTCTTGGACTTTTTCCTATCCTGTAACTTTGCCGTACCCCGTTTCGTTTCTAACACCGGCATGGGCACGGCGGGAGAAGCAGGTGAGGAACCCCGCGCTACACCCACCCGAGCAGTCTCTGAGCCCCTCCTCTGGGGAGTAGACTCAGATAACACCGCATCATTTGATCTCTGCGTATTGATATTAGTGGCCGTCCCACTAGACACGACGTTGACACGACGCTGCTCCAGAGGTTTTGTGGCGGAGCCCAGCGTGCCGTCGTGAACAGACACAAGCCGCTGCTTTTGACGTGTCGATACCCAGGACGGATCGCTCTCAACAAGCACCGTCGAAACCAAGTCATCTGAGCCTGTGTCCCGTTCCACCCGTCTCTTCTTCCTGCTTTGTGCAGTCATCTCGGGGAGCTCGTCCTCCTGGCTAACATATCCTATATCATCTAGCCGTCGTCGCAAACCCCTCGTGATTTTAGTCCTGGTGCTCAACGAGCCTTCCTGTGTCTTGGATGGCTTGGGCTGTGCAAACTCTGGGCTGCTGGGGACGTCCCACAGGCTCTTGTCAAGTATGCCGGTGCCTCTCGTCTCCTGGAAGCCATTGTCGAATGATGAGGCGTCCATGACTTCAGTAATTTCTTCGATTTGATTCGTTACATGCTCATTTGCCGCGTCCCGGTGCTCGTTGTAAATACTCTTGAAGAAGGTCGAGTCTGTAGAACCAGATGGGTGCGTCGCCGCCGTGGGTGATGAAGCTTGCAGAGGGACGGCTTGTGTGACGCGCCTAGGGGAAGATGTTACGTCTGACTCGTCTCCGTCCGAGTCTTCAATGACCACTGGTGTCATTTTGTGGCGAAATTTGCTAACTTGCAGGCATCAGCTCGGCATATCTTTCCTACGGAGTTACAGGTCGGGGATACGCGTGGTACGAGTACGCGGGGGTTGACGCGGGTGCACGTGACACCATTTTTGACAGGGTAAAGCGCAAAGTACTGATTGCACTACTCCATAAACTAAGTATTACCATACAAATATATAAAGAAATAAATGCCAGCAAATGAAGTGTTCCTTTCAGGATTTCTGACTTGATCTTCAATCGTCGTCTACGGCTCGGGGGCGTCACACCCCAAGCCGATGCACGCAGCCAGCCGGTTTAGGATTGGTACTCTGGTCTAGAGTTTGATGGCTACTTCTGATTCCAAACTCTCCCTCCCAGTGAAATATGATGTTTGATGCCTGGGTCAAAATATACATTTAGTATTTTAACCATCTAATTGGCTTTGTTGGGTTGTATCAGCTCTACTAGGCTTCTCCAAGACTCGACACTATACGGATGATCTCATCCGTCATTTATGCTCGCTCCGCCACGCCTGCGAGGCAAAAGCGCTTGTCTGTTTTGTCCCTCCCTGAACTATCGTGCAGAACACTATGACATACGACAATGCATCAGCGTCCACTGGGCGACAGACACACTTGTCTTGCCAGAAACTGCCGACTTTGACCTCACATAGATAGACCAATGGATCTGTTTGTTTGCCCAGGTTGAATCGGGTATATTATTTGTTACATCTACTTGCTCCTAGGTATCAAAAGCAACAGGCCGGGCAAGCCTATTGCCAACCGCATAACGCCATCATGTTGAAGAATCTCCTCATTTGGGAATCAACATTCCATTCTAATGTTTGTCATGGAACTTCCAAAAAAATAATTCACCCCCAAACGGGAGTGCTAAATGCATATATGTTGAATGCTCGCCAACCAACTGCCTTCCAAATCCAGTTCCCTAGCCCTCAGTTTCTCGTGAACTTTTTGGGATGCAGATAAAACACACCTTTTGTCATCACCCCATCCCATAAACGCCGATGTTGAGATCGTATCCGGCTTGATTTTAATAAAGGAAATTTGAGACAAAACAATCATTCTCGTCGAATAAGAACACATAAACGATGTGCGAATATTAGTAAACACAATTCTTCATTCGTTACCTGCCCAAATATTCTCATGCGGCATCAGCTGAGCCGCAATGACAAATAATTTATTTGGCATACTTGGTACGGAAGAACTTGGCAGCATTGACCATGTTGACCAGGGCCTCCTTGGTCTCCTTCCACTGACGAGTCTTAAGACCGCAGTCAGGGTCGATCCAGAGCTGTTCAGGCTTCAAGAACTGAAGCATTTCCTCGATGCGGTCACGAATCTCCTGCTCGCTAGGGACACGGGGAGAGTGGATGTCATAGACACCAGGTCCAATGTGTCGGGGGTATGCAGAGTCAACGAAGACGCGGAGGAGCTTGGCATCAGATTTGCTGTTCTCAATGGACAGGACATCGGCATCGAGAGCAGCAATGGCGTGGAAGAAGTCCTGGAACTCGGAGTAGCAGAAATGGGAGTGGATCTGGGTGGCATCCTCAACACCAGCGGTCGACAGCTTGAAGGCGTTGACGGCCCACTCAAGGTAGGCGTCACGCTCCTTGCCAGAGCGAAGAGGGAGACCTTCGCGGAGAGCAGGTTCATCGACCTGAATGACGTCGACACCAGCCTTCTCGAGGTCAACGACCTCGTCCCGGAGGGCAAGAGCAAGCTGCTGAGCCTGGACGGACTGGTGAACGTCATCACGAGGGAAAGACCATCGCAAGCAAGTGACGGGACCAGTCAGCATGCCCTTCATTGGCTTGCTGGAGACGGAAACAGCGTACTTGGACTCTTTGACGGTCATGGGGGCGGGTCTGGAGATATCACCGACGATAATAGGAGGTCGGACGCAGCGGGAACCGTAGCTCTGGACCCAGGCATGGGTGGTGAACGCATAACCGTTCAAGCGCTCACCAAAGTACTGAACCATGTCGTTACGCTCCGGCTCGCCGTGGACGAAGACATCGAGGCCAAGCTCCTCCTGGATCTTGACGTTCTGCTTGATCTCCTCCTCGATGAACTTGTCATACTGCTCCTGAGTGATCTCACCCTTGGTGAACTTGTTTCGCTGGACACGAATCTCAGAGGTCTGAGGGAAGGAGCCGATGGTAGTGGTGGGGAAGAGGGGTAGGTTGAGCTTCTTCTGCTGAGCAGCAATACGGGCGGGGAATTGGGACAGACGCTCGTGGTCCTTGGCAGTGACCTTGGATTGGCGGTCCTTGACCTTGGGGTCGTTGGTGCGAGAGGAGGTGGCACGAGCCTGCATAGACTTGGCGTTGGCCTCAAGCTGTTCACGGACGGCAGCAGGGCCCTCGGTGACAGCCTTGGCAATGATGGCAATCTCAACAGCTTTCTCAGAGGCGAAAGAGAACCAGTCAGCAACCTCAGGATCCAGCTTCTTCTCGCTGGCCAGGGTGTGGGGGGTATGAAGGAGGGAGCTGGAGGTGGCGACAATCACGCGCTCCTTGCCAAGCTTCTGGATAGCGGACTCCACGGTCTCAATGGCACGCTTGAAGTTGGTCTTCCAGATGTTACGGCCGTCAACAACACCGGTAGAGAGAATGGTCTTGGGGCCTAGGGCAGCAGCAACAGTCTCCAGTTGCTCAGGGTTTCGGACAAGATCGATGTGGACGGCATAGATGTCCTTGGGGAGAAGGTCCAGGTTGTGAACAATGTCGCCGAAGTAGGTCGTGAAGACAAGCTTGGGGATCTTGTCACCCAGACTGGCCAGCTTCTCATAGGTAGGCTTGAAAGCAGCCTTTGTCTTGGCAGGAAGGTCGAAGACGAGGGTAGGCTCGTCAATCTGCACGGTCTCAGCACCAGCCTCCTTGAGCTTGACAAGGAGCTGCTCGTAAACAGGTAGCAGCTTGTCGAGAAGGTCAATGGGGTCAACAGTCTGGCCACGGTCGGCTTTGCCAAGGTGGAGGAAAGAAACAGGACCAACAAGGACGGGGCGAGTCTTGATACCAGCCTCCTTGGCCTCGTTGAATTCAACAACAGCCTTGGGGCTGTCGACCAACTTAAAGGTCTGGTTGTTCTGGAGAGTAGGCTTCACGTAGTGGTAGTTGGAATCGAACCACTTGACCATTTCCAGGCTGGGCACGTCAATGCCACCCTTCTGGTGGCCACGACCCATGGCAAAGTATTGGTCAACATTGTCAAGGCCATCCTTGGTGTATCGCTCGGGAACAGCCTGAGAAGCTAGTGTTAGAACCGTGATGCCAATAAGAATGAGCCAGAGGGGTAGCAAAAACTCACACCAAAGTCCTGAATGTGGCAGAGGACCTGGTCGTACAGAGCGAAGTCGTTGCTGGGGATGACGTCGACGCCAGCATCTTTCTGGATCTTCCAGTGGGCAAGTCGCAGGCGCTTTGCCTCGGCAAGGAGGTCAGCCTGAGAGATCTTTCCGCCCCAGTCTATGGCTAGTGTTAGATAATTGCTCTTCCTCTGTTTCCCACAATGACAATGGGTTGGTGGCTCAACTCACAGGCCTCGGTGGCTTTTTTCAGGTCACGGTTGACTCCCATGCGGGGGAAGCCGAGAATCGCAGACTGGACCATCTTGACGACTGGCTGTAGACTCTCAAATATGTGATGGAGGTATTAAGAAGCTCTGGTGAGAAAACAGATCCAAATTAGCTACAGCAAGCTCGCAAGTGTTCTTTCGCTACTGCTGGCGAAAGATGAAATACACGCACGCGGTAGATTGGGGTGGACGGACGATGAGGGGTATGAAGAAGATGATGCTAACCTCGAAAATGTAGAGCCTTGGATGCCACAGTAGATCGACACCTAAGACGACTCTCTGTGAAGGGGGATAATAAGGGGGAAGGGTATGGTGAAGAGCTTGGGGAGAGGGAAAAGGAGGAAAATAGACGAAGAGAACTGGGAGGGGAAGAAATAAAAAGAAGAGCGGCGATCAAGACGACAGCTTGGCGGAAACACGGCTAAAGCGACAAGCGTCAGGCGAGAAAAAATGGCGCCGAAAGCGGGGGAGGGGTTAAGTGAGATGAGAGCATGGGCGAGTCAATACGTAACTTGTTACTCCGTGCATAGCAGCTCATGTGCGCTCGGTACTCCGTACCAGACTCGAGAAGTGGCTGGCAAACCCGGCCAGTTTCGAAGATGTATCGAGGGTCCAAGGGTGGCACGTAACTTCTTGTTGGACGGAGACTTTATTGGGTGAGGCACGTTGAGCTTTAAGCATGCCTCGAGAAGGAGGACTTGACACTTTGGCACAGACACGGGGAGTGCATATCTACCTACTTACTTAAGTACAATAGGTACTTAATTACCTAGGTAGGTACACACAGATGCAGATTGGAGCATGAAACCTTGAATCATTCAACGTTGAGACAGCGTCACCTAGAGTTCAAGTGTTGCACTTGGCGATACTCGGTTGCCCCTCAACCCCGTCAACCCACCTCGATTGATAGAACCAATGCTTGGAGGGGTTCCCAAGCTTCAACGTACCTACAGGTACTTACCTGGGTACTACCTGCCACCCGCCACACGGCCATTCGCTCCATTGTCCGAAGGACTGGAGGCTTGACTTCGGCTCGACTGCCATGTTTTTCCGAGCTGCTGTCGTCGGCCGCCGCCCCTCTGCCCCTCTTGCAACCAAGCTTGGCTTTGCCTGCTTGCTTTCCTTTGTGCCTATCACGCTGGTGAGCTCGACCACACGCCGTCGATTCGGTGCTTTTTGTCTCCATCGACTGCAGAGTCTGCCAATTGCGCCATCGCACCGCCTTTCGCCGTGCCTTCAGCGCTGTGTGCTCTCGTCTGCTGCGAACATTGGATGTGGGCCCTTGGACTCGTCCTCCGAAGCGCCAATCAGTTGCAGGTTCAAGTTCCGAATCTGTGACGTGTTGCACACATGTAAACCTCTCTCTCTCTCCGTGACTAAGACTAGCAGTATCGTCTCCCGTGGTGGTGCTCGGAGCATTCATGTCTTCCATGTACCTACAAGTGCAGGTATATGTATGTATGTACTTACTCAAGTAGGTATGTATAAGCATCGGCTCGACCGTTTTACCGACCAATTCGTCAATCTGCTTCATTGTATGTACGGAGAACCAGCAGGAGATAACCAAGCTACCAGAGTGCTCCGTTTTCCGGACAAACTTTGGCAAGTGGAGCAGACAGGATCAAAAATTGTTTGCTTCGAGGCCAGATTGCCCCGTAGCTCCAAGCTCGTCATTTACTACGTTGACGCCACCTTGCTTGCCGTCCGTATTCGTGTTTTTGTTTTCCAAGTCGCCGATGGCCCGTCGCCGACTTCCCTGCTCCTTCGGCTCTTGTGGAAGCCTCTCAAGCGAAAGTGTGTAACGGCCCCAGTACTTTGGATATGCATAGCAGATGGCTAGGCAGATGGAACAATACAATAAGAGCCGGTCAAGTCAACAGGCCTTGGTTCCTACTTGAAGCTTTCATACATGCTGCTGGTGAATAGCGCCCAGCGCTTGCTCTGCGGCGTGACATGATTCCGATGTCTCATGGATGCTGCGAATCTATTACTTACAGCTCGCCTTCCGTTCTGCTTGTGGACATCTTGACGCGTGTGGACTAAGTCTGCTTCATCTAATTAACTGCCTGGTACTTAAGTACCTAGTCGCTTACATCGTCAGGACACAGGTGACTTGGGCCACTCGTCAACTACCTGGCTTACACCCGCTCTTCCGCCTCGATAAACATCTACATCTTCATCATCCATGGACGCGTGACACTGCCTGTAACTGAAGCTGGTTATGCGCTCCTATATACCACATAGTGTCGGCTTGCGGGACAAAGTTGGTTTCAAAAGGCGATATTTCTGCACCCATGTTAACCACTGTTTAAGACCAGAGACAGACATTTTCGTCGGCCGACGTCGAGGCGGAAACTATTAACACCCCAGAGGCTCGACATTGCTCCCGTAATTCGGAACCACGTAGGTCTGAATAGCACGTATACCGCATACCTTGGTACTTAAGTAGGTACCGGGGAAGGTACCGGCCTTCAAATGTTACTTGGTAAAATGGCGAGCAGACCACCATACGGCTGGGGAAGGAGCTGCGTGGCCATCGTTTCGCTGAACCGAGCAACTGGAAGGAGCGGCAGGATTTAAAGTTGCATTGATCCAAATTCACTCCCCCTATTGTAATCGTACTGCTCTTCCTGTCCTTCGCTTGTCAAGTCATGGCAGCCTCGACAACCATCTCTTTTTTTTCATCCTGCTCCCTGCCACTTAAGACTGCTAGAATTCAGGTCCTGCAGCACCAGTGACCAAGTCTACCAGCACCGTCAACTCTTTGCAACTTTGGCATGCCACACAGCAATTCATTTCACGCTCCTCGGCTCAAGATCCTGCCCCAGTGCCTCATCTCCACAATCATCTTGAATGGCAAAGCACCTGGAAATGAGAACTCCTTAGCCCTCGCAATCTAGGACCAAATCATGCATGCTCTATGGTGCTGTGGACCGCGGAGAAGCCGTGGCTCAGCCGGCAACAAGATCAGCTTTACTTCCATATTCAGAACTTCAAATACTCCAGCTGTGAACACCAGAAACTCCGCTGGATCGAACCAGGAATGTAAAGACGGAAATCCAAGCGAGCAGATATCTCCGTTTGAGGGCCCTGTGGAACTTTGCCAGCTTGCTAGCACCAGCCCAGAGAATGGCGATACTGGGAGCCTCATTCCTAGCACACGAACAAGCACATTTGAAGGGGTCAAGGCTAGAATAGTTAAGCATTTGTCGCAGGATAGCGGGCCCAGACGACATTCTCGAGTGTCCATTGGACACAGTGACGAAGAGTTAGCAAGACGAGCCGAAGTTAGGCGGCTGCGACAAAAGCGAATTCAGGATGAGCTCAACAAGGATGACGGCAATGACGGCCAGAGCAATGGGTCACATCAGAGCGCCAGATATCTCTCTACGCTAATTGATATGGGGAGCCCGTGTAGCGGCCCGAGGGATACACTTGAGTTTACATTTGATGATTGCGCGCTGGCGTCTCGTCCCACGTCGTCAGACCTTTCCTGCAACCAGCATACACCGCCTAAGCAGGAAGATTGCCAACAAGACGCAGATCATGATGAAATATGTGCCACTCGCGATTGTGGCTCTCCGGTTGATACACAGTCAAATAACGATGAACTGCTTTGTCGGTCTCGCCCTATTCGCGGTCCACTACCAGAGAGAAGATGTGTCTCTATGGTATCAATATCCCCTCGACCATCCAGTTGCCAGCCCGGTTCGCCTCGTCTTGACAGAATCATTGGGCCTGACAATGAATTCAATATTCGGCATGGGTCACATGCCTGGGACGACCAATCTGCCCTGGGTATATGGCTGATCGCCCAAGGCATGAAGCCAGCTGACCACTTTGTGTTTCAACCTGAGCACGCACCCAGGGATGCGAATACCGCACAAGACAACATTTGTTTGCCAATGGAGGGGCCGGGTGGCGTCGATAGCATCCTAGAGTCATCGTTCTCTATACTTGACCGAGTCAATACTGCAGAGTCTCTCCTTCCGGCGCACACCGAAGAGACACACGAGGGTTCAATTCATCCCGCGTCTGTTAATTCACAAAGATCAGGCACAGATCAACTACCCACCTCAGATACTACTGCAAAATTAAGCACCAAATCTCAGAAGTCCAGTCACCCAGCCAACAACGGGTCCTCGAATTACCCATCTAAACTGCCTAGTTTTGATCCTAGTCCGTCAGGATCAGAATTACACGGATACGTGCTCAGCCAGAGAGACTTGGATAATCTCGAGCTTTCACCTGTTCATTGTATGTTAAAGATCAAACATTGGCCGGATTCTGGCTGACCTCGGCGCAAGGGTGTGGAAATTTGCCGGCTTGGAAGGATCTGGGACACTCTGAAGGCCAAAGTTCCTATGCAACCGCAGAAGAGGAGCCATCCCCGCAACTACCAGGGGGGGTCAATGCTTCAGAACTTCGAATAAATCCTATATCTGAATCACAGCAGATCAAGGATGATATGGTATACCCTAAGAAACTTAACTCGCAAGAATCGGTGCCAGGGCTGGACGAAAGCATCATCATTACAGCCCAAGCTTACGAAGATTTCGTAAACCGACCGACGCCAACTCTGGGCCGAAAATCGTTCAGAGAAAAGCTACAACACTCTTTATCACATATCTCAAAGCTGAGCTCCAGCAGCTGCAATAGCTCAGTTAAATTTGATGGTCCCAAACCTGAAGCTGGCCGAGGCTGGGTAGTCAACGGCAATAAGTGGCATAATTTCATCAACCGCACCTCGTACGACAACACAGAATCTATACATGCTATGAACCCGCTCGCGCAATCAAAAACACGACAACATGGGCACCGAACCGATTGATTGAGCGGTGGGTGTAATTACCCAATTACCCAGGTTGTTAACCTTGGGTAGCCAGGCAACGATGATGAAATCTCGCCCTCGCCAGACATCGGCCGTCAAAAAATAGATACATAATTTGATCTACTATCGCCTAAGGACGCTGCGAGCGGTTATTTCATCAAAGAATGTTTTAGATGAGGCTCCTGTGTGGTATAAATATGCAGAGTCACTTGCCTGGCAGAAATTGTATCATATCTAGCGAACTTCATTATCATCGATATACTCGAGTCATAGATGTAAGGTCATTGTAGTTGCTTGTCGCATTGACTAGCTAGAGTAATAAATCACTTATTAAGCCCGTTTTCCGTATTAGTTCCAAGATTTTTAATGCCAGTGTTGGCAAGCTTCATAGCTATCCCAACAATACCTAGAACAATCTGTTACCGGCATGATTCCTTGACAATATCTCATTATCATCCCAGAGACCCACGAGGCTATTCATTAGACATTCTCATCAAACATCATGAGCCCTGTTGGCCTCTTTATCCTTCTCCAGCCGGTTCTGTTCCTCCTGACGCAACGAGTCCTCCTTCATCTGTCGCAATGCAATACAAAACGGCGATTTATTCCTAATGGCTTGTCCCTTCCACAGGAATACGAATGGAATAACGCTCATGGCAGCACTCAGCCCTCCCAGGACGGCACACGCACCGGATATACCGAGCTGATTGAACATGGCTCTTGTGGCTAGCGGCAACACAACTGCTAGGCAGGACCGTGTCGCGGAGGCGGCCGCATTAGCGGAAGCAGCATACACCTCGTACGCGTCCGTCAGATAATTTAACAAGGTCATGAAGATAAGTTGGAAGCCCATCCCAAAGGGTAGCCCCGCTAGCATGGGCACCACAAAAGATATACTCGGCTTCGCGGTGAAGCCCAGCCAGAAGAGAGATATAACAAACAGCGGACCACCGACGGTGGCGAGCGGCACACGACGGTATTCATCAGTTGTGGCCCACACTGCGCCGCGGGAAGATGCGCGAGCGACGTAGGCGTCCCAACTCCAGAAGCAGACCATGCTCAGGAAGGCGCCTGCTCCGATGGGCAGGTAGCAGAGCCCCGTGATGCCGGGGGAAAGACCGTAGCGGCGGAGGAAGATGATTGGGAACGCCTGGAAGGACATGTAAAAGATAGCGTAAGCAAGTGCGAGGTAGGAGCAAGTCGCGGCGACGATGGGCTCGAAGAAGAGCATGCGGAGGGGTCGGGTGAGTACCCTGCTGACGAGCTGGGGGAGGTCGGTTGTCTCGAGGTCGCGGGGGGCGACGATGGTGGCGGATTGGCTTTGCTGCCGGAGCTTCTTGGCGCGGCGGGCGAGGAGGATCTGGTGATGAGTTTCCGGGAGGAAGATGAGCATGATGAATGTGAGACCTGCGTAGAGAAGGGCGATCCAGAATGTCCAGCGCCAGCCAATAGTTGGTGACGCGAACCCTGATACTATTGGCCCGAAGATGGGGCCGAATACTGTTGTCTGTTATGATGTTAGCTTCTGATATGAGTTGTGGGATGGGTCTTTCCTTGGAGAAGGGGAAACGCCGTACGACTAAGAAGGCGGAGTACGCTTTGCCTCGTACACGAGCATCGCCATATATGTCTGCCAGTATGCCGGCTACCACGGCTATAGGCGCACTGGCAAACACGCCAGAGCATAGACGAAATCCTAGCAATGAAGACCATGTTGGTGACAAGGCGGATGCCATGGTAAAGAGGCAATAGGCGAAGAACGTCGCGGTGGTAAGATATCTTCTGCCATACTCCTCACTGAGCGGTGCCCAGATGACGGGACCAAACACGTAGCCGAGGAGGAAGATGGAAATGAGAAGGACTTTATGCTCTTGCGAGACGCTGCCGAATTCGTCAATGATCTGGGGGATGGCCATGCAGGGGAGGGCCGAGCCCATGGTTGAATTGGTGACGAGCATGCATGTTACCGTGAGAATGTAGGTCTTTTTGAACTATGGTCATGTTAGATTGGCACCGGTGACATGAATAGATACGGGTTTCTTTTACAAACGACCAGTTGTGGGGATTCTCCGGGTCATTGACATCCCAACCGATGACAGTATAGCTCTGGTCGCTTCTGCCTGTCCGTTGAATAGCATCTGGTGAGCTCAGGTCTTGGATCACGCTGTTGCGGTCATTTTGTTGTTGTGGTTCAACATCTTGGGGGCCGCTTCCGCTGCCAGTCCTAAGCAATTCCGGGTTCATTACTGCTATCGTCGAGTAAGATTAACCTAGTCCTTAATACTGCAGAAAAGGGAATAATGCATACCGTTCGCCGGGATAAGGTTACCAGACAGCGTGTCATTATAATTGCTTGTAGACATGATGCTCAAGCTATGAAGCTAGACATGAGGAGTGGTTGCCGCGTGTATAGGTCAGGAAAAATGGATTTCTTCAAGCATTGCCGCAGCCTGGAGAAATCTCATCTACAATTCTTGAAAACGACACTGGCTTGTTATAGGAGTAGAAGATGAAGATGCTCGCGGGAACGGGGGGAAAGATGGGATATAACAGAACAGGGTAACACAAACCATAGCCTACTTAGTACTAACATAGCTTAGAACGGCGGGAGATGATCACTCTCGATAGCTTCGTGCCATAATGTGAGATGTCTTGGAACTAGGATCATCGCCCTGCTCACATGTCTCGTCCCCAAACTGGGTATAAGTGAGCAACGCACGGAGAATTGGCTTAATCTCCTTTCTACGGAGAACGATGTTGTCTTCGGTCAGAATGGCTGGTTGGGCCCTTCACAGGTCTTCAGGCTTCCACTGACCTGCATGGCCTTGGCATAGGCGCCGAAGTTACACAAAAAATATAAGACATGGCCAGGATAAAATGCAGCCACCATGCCTTCCACGCCTTGGTACTCCTTGAAACGGGATGGGGCTCAATCCATATCCTCGCATCCTCCAATGGTACACAAAACTGGGAAAATGCCAGACCTGTTGGGAGACGAGGTCAGCCGAGGACTGGAAGTCATCAATGATAAGCCCAGCACATGGTCATCCTCAACCATCATGACGCTCGACTCCCACGGACACACAGTGTCAACGAGTGAGTCATCAAACTGGCCTCATCTATTGGGTTCAACCCAGCAGTCCATCCATAGCTGCCAATCGTGACACGCAGGTCTCGAATCTCGGTGTCAGAAGGAAGAAATGCAAATCTTCGTCTAGCCGATGGGCGAGTGGGTACACACGTGCATGTTAGAATGATCAACAAGCATTTCTCCGGTGAAGTGTGCCATCTTGATTTTGGAATATTTTTGATACAATGTTTTTCCTTCTTTGGTGTTTATTAAAAAAAATATGCTTATACTTCGAGGTTGATTTGCTTTCCGAATCTGGCGTACAATTCGACTTTGAGTTGCTGCATCTCCTCGCGTACCGAGCCAATCTTGTCTTCTAGTTCGCTCGCCTCTTCGTCAATTTTCGTCGTAGCCGCTTCCAACATCTCTTGGGCTTGATCAAGTGGAATGTGAAAGAATGCATCGCCGATCTTGTACCTGCAGGGACATTGGTCCATAAGCGCGTGAAAGGGGCGGGTGCGATACGGAGATTGGCATACTGAATCTTTTCATCTTCATCCGCTAGCTCCAACTCTGTCGACAGGTCATCATATTCCTCTTTCTCTTTCTAGACATTGCCCAGTCAGTGAGTGTCTCGCCGCTGGACAGGTGGGCAGATGGGGTCGGCTCTCTGCCAAGGGTCCTCACATTCTTCAACCTGAGTTCCTCCTCCATGGCCAGTTCCCTCTGATGCAGCCGGCTAAACTTGTTGATCTTATCCTGGTCTTCTCTGCGGACCTCGACTTCGTCGCCTGCCTGCTCGTCCTCCTTGGAGAGCTGGGCATGTCGGTCAGTCGCGCACGATCGTCTCATGAAGCGGAACCACAAATGACGATATTAGAAATTCAACCGTACCATACGCCTCTGCATTATTGAAGCCATCGTATGCAATACGAAGCACTAGGTCGTGGACAGCCTCTCGGTTTCAACTGGATATTGGCGCAACGTTGGCCCCCGACGCCGTATGGAAACCGTCGTTTGTTGCGAGCGCCTTTCCTGATGTTCAGTCTTGTGGTGGGGGTACTGTGTGGCTTGGCAGCCTCGTCCGGAATTCACACAGTTCTATCACTCTTGCCGATTGGCTGCCCCACACATGCCTGCCTTGCTTGCTTGTACGGCTTGCTCTGTCAACACATACGACGCGCAGTCCGTGGTTGAGAGGCAGCTAGCTCTCAACACATTTGGATCGCGGCATCGCGTTCAATAAAAGTATTGCCATGGCACTCGGTAAGAAAGCATATCCGCGGGCAACCGTTAAGAAGATCATAAAGGCGCACTCGAACATGAGTGTCAAGAAGAACGCAGACGTCACGGTGAGTAAGGCGTTTCGTGACGATTCCATCTGTGCTACTAAGCGAATATAGATATTCTTAAACTACGTCCTCTTCATGGAAACGTGTGTACAGCCGGCCTTTTGTCTGTGCTGCTGCAACTAACTGAGTTGGTAGACTCGTCAAAGAAGCAGCCATCTACGCCAAGCAGTCAGGCGAGCGCGGCTTGACGGCAAGGAGTGTAAACAAGGTGACCAGAGTACGTTCATAATTTGTTCAGCCCACATGCATCACCTCCCGCATGGCTAACTATGATGCAGGATACACTGGCCAAGTTCAAGGGCTGAGAACATCGTAGGAGATTCCTGCGTGAATTCTTGCTTCCATGGTTCAATCTGGTAGGGCATAGCAAAAGGACGAAGTCAAGCAACAGACCAAGCAAACAGCTTTGTCTTACCTTACGAGAGGAATCGGCGGCAAATAAACATGGACATTTGTCACGCCAGGGTGTCACACCTGACACTGGCACATGATACATGGCAGACAACAGAGTACCGGATGCTTTGAGACCATTGTATCCGTATCGCAACCTGTCTGATGTCCGAAGGTGGCCTACTGTGTTGGCGTTGGCAGTGGCGGCTCATCAGCGCCGAACGGAGAGGATGGGATGCAGCTGGGCTGGATGAGGGGCCAAGGATAAGTAAGGATAGGCACGAGACCATGCATAATGGCAAACAACGGCTCTTCCCGAGTGCAAACAGATGAACCAGTCGTAAATCTGAATAGTAATGACAAGGCTAATTGCGCTTGTGCCGTCTTTCTCCAACAGACTGCAATTGCGCCGCCATACCACGGTTTCAACATGGGCATTGGGCAGTGGCTCACAGACAGACTGATGTCGACGGTGCGGTTCTCTCTGGTTCTAGAACCGAACACGGAGCACTGGACAGCTCCATGTCATGAAGAGCTTCGCACCCCAGGCGACCCAGCGCTGCACAGGGGGCGGCGTTTGTGGTCCCGCAGCATCAATGATCAATCAGGCTCCAAACAAGCCGCCAGCCCAGTTGACGTGAACAGACCAACCTCCACACCCGTTGGATCACACCGTCGACCCCGACTCTTCCTCTTCCTCCTGCTCGTTGCCTGATCAGCCGAACCCGATTTATCATTCTTGTCTCTCAATCGCCTCTCTCTTGTCACACGGCATCCTTTCCGCTTTCAAACATCCAGCTAGACGATCGGCATCGAGCACAGTAGAGATATTGAAAGCTCGAGCATCGTTATCCACCAAGCCATCTGGAGCTTCCTTGCGACAACCTGACGATCCCCCTCCCCCCCCCCCAAAAAACACACCTCCGCCGCCCCCCAAAAAAGACATCCTCGCAGCGCACAAAACTTGTTAGCAATGCCTGCAGCTGCAACTCAACCCGCCCCCAGGGGGTCCAAGAAGAAGACCACTGGTGCTGCCAAGCGTGCTGAGTCGCCCGCTTCCAGCATTGGTTCCCGTGCCGCTGCCGATTTGTTGGACGAGGATTTCGAGAGTTCCGACATCATGAAGCTGCAAAAGTAAGGCTCTCTTCGAATGAGATGGGTTAGAAGCTGCAATGCTAATAGTTAATCTCACAGGAGCATTCGTAATCTCAACAAGAAAATTGTAAGTTGGTTGTACTGTACACATTTTGCTCCGCGACCTTGCCTTCAGCTGGGCCACCCAACCACCCACTTCGAAAAACTGACGCGCCCTCTGCCAGACCAATGCCTCAAAGACAGATGCCCTTTTGAGCCAGGAACAGCACGCTGGCAAAACACTTGAGCAATTGGTCAACGAAAAGACCATAAACCCAGATCAAAGGGCACAGATTGAGAAAAAACCCGAGCTCCAGGCCCAGCTTGCCCAGGCCGAGGAGCAGCTCGCGCAGCTCCGAAAGGTCCATGAGCAATACCGTTCACGAGCCGCAAACGAAAAGGCTGAGTGGGAGAAAACGTTGGAGAAGGCCAAGGCTGACGCTGTCAGCGAAGCCGAGGCGAGCTTCCAAAATTCCTTGAAGGGTAACCTTCTTCTCCTATCGCAGTTCTTGCGCCTCGCTGCCTACCGCCGTGAGGAAGCTACCGATGCCGAGTCGGACGAAAGCCAAGCTATCGAAGGTGTTCTCCTGGCAATCTATGCCGGAGACGACTCTGCCGTTGCATCAATGTTGAAGCTCGTGGAGGGTACTGAAGACAAGGTTCTCAGCGTGCCAGGAGAGCAATTGCAGACTACTTGTAAAGGCCCCTGCCAATGACTGCCGCTCTCCCTGTTTAGAGCAAAACTATGTACTAACGCAATCTAGACTCCGTTGTCAAGACACTAGCTCAGGAATACAAGGCCCCGGTCTACAGTGAGGTACCAGCCGAAGGAGAGACTGCTGAGGTGGTTACTGGCCCTACTGTGGCAAACGTCGCAGCCATCGAGGTCGCAGATACTGATGTCTCTGCTTCTCCTGGGGAGAAGAAGGCTGAGGCGAGCAATGGTCACCCTAGTGCCAATATATCCAACACTGCCGCCAACGCTGTGGCTGAGAGTCACTGGGATACTGAGGCCGGTCTCTCCACGTCGCAGGAGTGGGTAGATGTGAAGGCCTCACGAGACATTACCGAGGCTGATACTGGCCTGACTGACACGCCAGCCTCATCTGGAAATACCCAATCTTGGGCGGACGAGCAGCCCGAGCCTACTAAGCCTGTAAGTGAGAGCAAACTTTGAAAGCTGCATGCCTGGTAGAATAGAAACATCTAACGCCTGCTATAGTCTGATGGTAATGATGGATTCCATCAGGTCCAGCGTAACAAGGGCCGTCACGAGCGCGAAGGAAATGGCAACTTGCGCGGTCGAGGTGGTCATCGTGGTGAGCACCGTGGCCGTGGCGGTCACCGCGGCGAAGGCCGTGGACGTGGTCGAGGTCGTGGGATATCCTCTCGCCCCCGACGAAACGAAGAGTCCTAGGCCAACATTCCAGCGAAGTTAATTCGAACCATAATGAGCGTGCTTTACCGCAGCTCTCACAAGAAATGAACTGTACATCATGTCATGGCGGCGTTTAGCAGATTTTTGGCCGGTTTGGGGGAAACAATACAGTGGGCTTTGGGAATTGCTTTTGCATTGCATCGCATCGCATCGCATCGCACTGATCATTCTGAGTGATTTGGCCCTTTAGGTTGCATTCTGGAGGAATGGTGATCTGGAGTGGGCGTTTAGCCTCCGGTTGATGACTTCAAATGTGGAGGAAAGGCAAGGAGGAAGGGTTGGCAGGGCTTGTATCAACAGAAAACAAATGTGTTTGTATGGGAATATTATACGACGTCCATAATGATGGCGTAATGACTGTTATCCGCCTGCTTGGTTATATTTGGAGCCAACTGATTGTGTGCCTGTGGTGAAGCTTCACATACCCGCAACAGACCGTAGAGCACTCTAGAGTCTGCAGCAATTGATGATAATTTTATAAAAGAAAAGATGAAAACCACTTATTAAATTATTGACAAAAAAAGTCTAAATAATCACATAAACCTATTAATAACATAATTAATAGGCTATACTTGGCTCTAATAATAATAACGCATAATATAAAAAAAACACTAAACGCGCTATAATACGTTAAACGTATTAGCTTAAAAGGTGATTCATGACCTCCCGCGCTGGCAAAAGCTATCTAGAGACGGCCTCTGCCACTTGAAGCGTGGAATAAAATACACGTAATGCCGGTGACCCACGCGGGCGTGAATCACGCCCCGAAAAACAAACACTTATTTTATCATAGTTTGAGCATACAGAATAATATAAAAGTGAAAAGTGCGCAAAGTTTGGTCTATAAAACGTTACTTTGGAAACTACCTAGGTAGGTGCGATGGTCGGTCAAGTCAGTCCTGTCAGCCTTGGCGTGGGCAGCCTCTGAACTAACGCGCACATGCATGGGCGGGCTGGGCTGGGCTGATGGCTGCAACTTGTCCTCTTGGCCTCTTGGCCCACGAGTGACGAACAAGCCTCTGCTCCGACTAACATGACACAGAGAGGCCACATCAACCTCTTCAAACCAGCTGCACAGAGCTAGCGGGCGCCTAAACCTTGGCTGCTCCTCTCTCCTTGAACTCTAGTTCAGTTTATTTTTGTCTCGTCATCTTCCTTTGGGTATTTATACACCCAGCGCATCTTCGTGCATTTTCTTTCCTTGTCCGGTACAAAGTCACATCATCGCACACGTCTTGATGCTCCATTGACCGATAGCACGCTCCGAACCACCCACCATGGCGAATTCGCGGCCATCGCCTCTGATGATGCTCCTCGGAGCTGTCATCTTCTTCTCTGCCAATGTCTTTGCGTCGGCCGCCGTCCTTGGTATTGACATTGGAACCGAATACATCAAAGCCGCCCTGCTGAAGCCGGGCACTCCCCTCGAAATTGTCCTGACGAAAGATTCCCGGCGTAAAGAAACCTCTGCAGTTGCATTCAAGCCACTCAACAGTGGCCCCAAGGCTGCTCAGTTCCCCGAACGACTATACGGTGCGAAAGCCATGGCGGTCGCCGCTCGGTTTCCCGACGAAGTCTACCCCAACTTAAAGACGCTTCTTGGCCTTCCCGTCGACGATGCCTCGGTTCAAGAATATGCAGCACGTCACCCAGCCTTGCAGCTGCAGGCTCATAGCACACGCGGCACAGCTGCTTTCAAAACCAAGACACTGGTCCCCGAAGAAGATGCATGGCTGGTTGAAGAGCTGTTGGCTATGGAACTCCAGAGCGTACAAAAGAACGCCCAGGCAACGGCCGGTCATGGCTCTTCTGTACGATCCGTCGTACTCACTGTCCCCTCCTTTTACACTGTCGAGGAGAAGCGCGCTGTTCATCTGGCCGCCGAATTAGCTGGCCTCAAGGTCCTCAGCTTGATCAGCGACGGCATGGCTGTTGGTTTGAACTACGCTACTAGTCGCCAGTTCCCAAACATTAATGCAGGCGAGAAGCCCGAGTACCACCTCATCTTCGACATGGGAGCCGGTTACACCACTGCCTCTGTTCTGCGCTTCCAAAGCCGTACTGTTAAAGATGTCGGGAAATACAACAAGACTGTCCAGGAGGTCCAGGTTCTTGGTAGCGGCTGGGACAGGACTCTTGGTGGTGACTCCCTCAACTACCTGATCATGGATGACATGATTTCACAATTTGTTGAGACACAGGCAGCAAAAGGCATTTCTGCCACGGCTCAGGGTGTCAGGTCCCACGGACGGACAATGGCCATGTTGGCCAAGGAAGCCGAGCGACTGCGACACGTTCTCAGCGCCAGTCAAAACACCCAGGCTAGTTTCCAGGGGCTCTACGAAGATGTCGACTTCAAGTACATGGTCACCCGTGACGACTTTGAGACCATGTCTGAGGCTCACGCTAAGAGAATCGAAGCCGTCATCAACGATGCCATTAAGATGTCTGGTATCGAATTGAGCGACATGACTTCCATCATCTTACATGGAGGTGCCACTCGCACTCCGTTTGTTCAGAAGGCTCTTGAAAAAGCTGCTGGCTCCGCTGACAAAGTACAGTCCACTGTTAACTCTGATGAAGCTGCCGTGTTTGGTGCCGGTTTCCGTGCCGCTGAGTTGAGCCCTAGCTTTCGAGTCAAGGAAATCAGGATCTTTGAAGGCCCCATGTACGCTGCCGGCCTGAAGCGTGCGAACGGCGAAAAGCGACAGCGTCTCTGGACTGCTATCTCACCTCTGGGCGGTGTCGCAAAGGAAATAACTTTTAACGACCACGATGACTTTGCGCTTTCCTTCTACCAACAAGTTGGTGACGACGACAGGGATATCGCTTCATTGTCGACTAAGAACCTGACTGCTACTGTGGCAGCCATCAAGGAGAAGTACCCCTCCTGCGTGGAGTCTGAAATTGTGTTCAAGCTTGGTGTTAAGTTACTTGGCGAAAATGGAGAGATCCAGGTCGTCAGGGCAGCTGTAGAATGCGAGGCCGAAGTAACTGTGAAGGAACGTATTGTCGACGGCGTCAAGAACTTGTTTGGCTTTGGGAAGAAGGATCAGAAGCCTCTCAAGGGCAATGAGAAGAATGCCGATTCTAAAAAACCCGAGGGCTCTGAGGAGGCCCCGAAGGCAGAAGCCAAGTCGTCCGCCACGTCTTCATCCTCCACGACCGACTCATCCACCGCCTCCAGTTCGTCCGAGTCAGCTGCCCCTAGCGAGGAAGTCAGAGAGGTGAAGCAAAAACAGACTGTTTCAATTCCTGTTGAAGTTGTGTTGGAGAAGGCGGGCGCTCCTACACTGACCAAGTCCGAGCTGGTCAAAGCCAAGGATAGACTCAAAGCATTCGCAGCCTCTGACAAGGCCAAGGTTCAGCGCGCGGAAGCTCTCAGCCAGCTTGAAGCCTACACTTATAATGTCCGAGATCTCCTGGATGGAGACTCGTTCATCGATGCCTCGACAGAGAAGGAACGCGCTGACTTGGCTAAACAATCCAGTGAAATCGGCGATTGGTTATCTGGGGATGGAGCCGACGCTACTACGGAAATCCTCAAAGCTAAGCTGAAGATTCTTCAAGACGTTGTTGTACCTGTACAGACGAGAATCGAAGAGGCCGAAAAGCGACCTGGGCGGATCACTGCACTGAAGGATTCCATAAAGCGCATTAGCGAGTACCTTGACTCCATACACAAGCAAATTGCAGAATATGAAGAGTGGGAGGCAACGGCTTCTTCCGCTAGCGCCAGCGGATCATCAACGACATCTGCTTCGGCCGAGACTCCGACGGGCGAGTTCGATGGTCTCGAGGACGACGACGCCAAGGACACTAAGAATGACAATAAGCCCGAGGAGCAGCCTGGCCCCATCCCACCTCTGTTTAAGAAGGAAGAACTGAAGGACTTGGAAACACTTGTCAAAACCACCAGTGAGTGGCTTAGTAAGATGCAGCCTCAACAAGAGAAACTGCCCAGTAATGCGAACCCTGTTCTCCTTGTCAAGGACATTTCCGAGAAGATCCAGAAGCTTGACAAGGTCAGCATGGATCTGGCCCTCAAGGGAGCCAAAGGCTTTGGAGGCAAGGCCAAAAAGGCCGCCCAGAACCTCAAGAAGGGAAAGTCAAAGAAGGGCGAGGGCGCTGAAGATTTCAAGGGTCAGCGTTTCACGGAAGACCAACTGGAAGAGATGTTGGAGAAAATCAAGGCCATGGAGAAGGAGAAGAAGCCCGAGAAGACTGAGAAGACTGAGAAGGCTAAGGAGAGCAGCGAGAAGCCAGGGCATGATGAGTTGTAGGGGATATTTTTAAGTCGCTACGATTGAGATGTATCATGTATCAAAAGCTGAGAGGCATATGAATAGACTATACGGCAGTAGAGTATTAGGAAAAGCGGAGCGTTGCTCCTTAATTGAGACGGGCTATTAAAAGTCTTGATGTATTGAATAATATTTCTGATAAGCCGTGTTGTTAGAATTGATGCGGTTAATAACGGTTACCAAAACACCCATTACGCCTGCTAGGGGTTTTCAAATAATATATTTACCGGTTGATAAGTATACACACTGTCCTTGGCCTGGTACAGCCCAATACTGTTTTAGATTTTACGCTTGCACGATACTTGTATTATACGTGTAATTTTATTTGACTATAAAGCGAAATAACCAAAAATTAATACACGTATATAGTATTATTATTAATAAGGATATACCAATATACTATAATATAGCATAATATACAGCGCGATAGCTACCTAGGTACCTAGGTAGGTATCCGGGTATCGACCTTTCGCCTCCCACTGTAGTATATTTTAGGTTGGGCCTTGCACTTGGCAGCTGCCACCAGCTGTGCTTCCTCCCGTCGACGGTTTGTCTCCTACTTATAGTTGTCTACCTACTTAGTACCTACCTAGGTACCTGGGTACTTAGGTTGTCAAATGATGTGTTGTTTCTTCCTTTTGCCTAAAGTACTTAGACCTAGTGCACAAGGTACTC